TATTTCTATTTCAATGACAAATGTGGTGACAAGCTATATTCGTTAGTCCCACCAGTTCAGAACTTACCCACTCGAGCACTGAGACAAATTATCTGCATTGCACTCCACTGGTAAGAAAAAGTTCTATTCAGATAGCTTCTTCAAAAAGAGCCGCTACTTTGTGGAACAGACTCCCGAGAGGATGCTTTTTTTGACCACTACAATTTTAACCGCTTTCAACAACCTCATTCAGTAACCCTCTACCTTGAGTGGCTCTTGTATTGGGAAAACAACAGATAAAAGAACAAAGAAAAAAGGTTAAATTATCTCCTGGGATGGAAAGTGAAGGCAGCTCATCAACCACTGAAGGTCTGTGTGTTTTCAACTGTGAATCAATAAATAAACATACAGACTCAATTACTATACTGAAGTATAGTATCAGTTTAATAAGAATGCTATAAGCATCATTATTCTGGTCTTTACTTTACCAGCTACCCACATCCTTATAATAAAAAAAAAGTTGTTGAATGCTAAACAGCTGTTGGGAAATTGATTGAAACACTCGAGAAAGTATCTGGCTCCTCCTACCATGCTCTATCTTTACACAAGTCAGATCTGATACAAAAAGGAGCAGCATATCAATGGCCTTGTGGGTGATGAATTATTTTCCATCCAACCACCTGATTTCAAATATCTTCCTACTCTATTGTTAATTCCATGGTTAATGTTGCCATTTAATTTAGATTCTTTAGGCCCACCAGCCCTGAGCTTTTATAACTGGGACACACCATGCCATGTCCACAAGAGTGAATCATCCCCATTTCCTCTGTATTCCATTAGTAAGGAATTCCATTCAGACAGCTTCATCCCAAGAACTGATGCTTTGTAATTTGGTTTTGGTTTAAGACAGCTTTTTGTTTTCCCATATCAACCTCAATGGGTTATTTAATGCTTCAACATTTTTAGGTATGAATAGAATATGTATTCTTTGGTTTTTGGTTTGGTTTATTTTGTTTCATCTATCAACCTCAATGGGTTATTTAATGCCGACAACATTTTTAGGATAGATTCGTATGAATGGAATATGTATTCTTTGGTTTAGATTGGTTTGGTTTATTTTTGTTTCACGGCATATCAACCTCAATGTTATTTAATAACAACATTTTTAGGATAGATTCGTATGAATAGAATATGTATTCTTTGGTTTAGATTGGTTTGGTTTATTTTGTTTTGGAATATCAACCTTGGGTTTATTTAATGTATCAACATTTTAGGACAGATTTTTATGAATGGAATATGTATTAATTTAGATTGGTTTGGTTTGTTTTATGGCATAGGACCTCAAGGGATTATTTAATGAAGACAACATTTTAGAATAGATTCATTGGTTTATATGTATTCTTTGGTTTAGATTGGTTTTTTTTTTTCAGCATATCAACCTCAATGGGTTATTTAATGATGATGACTTTTTTATTGCTAGTAATATTGTTTTGAAAAAATCTGTTCCTGGTAATATTTTTCCTTCTAAATTGTATTGCTGGTTATATTTTTTTAAAAAAGGTATTGCTTGGTAAAAGTTAACTATTTGCCCATAGCTGGGACCCTAACAGGTGCTACCACCCTGGGTCAGGGTGGACCTGGGGACATCAGCAATTAAGAGGTGGTTCCACGCTCCTCAAAACCTCCTGATTGAAGACCTTGCTGTTGGATGTAGTTTATCATCATACCCAGGATGCAGATATAGTTTTTTTTAATTACTGTCCAGGATTAAAGATGCTTTATAGAAAAACATCCCCAGCAAGATGCTTTCCCAAACTTGATCTCTATCCATCAAGGCTTAACCATTATATTTCCTAAATAACCATATGAATCTCACTTCTTGCCTTTTCTTACATTCATAAAAACACTACATAGTAGCTCTCTAACTTGAGAGGCTGCTGGGCCTTGTATTGGGTGAAGATTAGTTTAAAAAAAAAAATCAAAATAAAAGAAAAATTTTCTTTAATTTTTATTAAATATATTTAATGAAAGAAAAAAAGCAGATGAAATAAAAAAAAAATTTGGCAATGTTTAACCTTTCTAACTCTTTATGTGACTTCATTTATGGTACAAAAAGTTTATCCTGCCACTGAAGGTGACTGATCTCTGGATTTGAATTTCATAGTTGTGTTGTCATATCCTGCTATGGCAACAGAAAACAACTGAGTGAAATTAATACGGATATTGCAATTGACAGGCACTGAAAAAAAAGAATGCAGTGCAAAGGGAAATAATATTAATAATGGAGAGTGTAAAAATGTTAAACTTTGTACCCTAAAAAAACAAAATAGTTTCAAAAGGACTGTTATTCCTTGACGCCACTATTACTATATACATTTTTGACTCCTTGACAATGTTATTTGTTTTAAAAAGTGATGATTAGAATTTTAATAAAAACCATACTTATGTCAGTGAATTTAGATTTTTTTTTTAATTCTTGGGAATTGAGAACAAAAATATTAAATGCTATTTATTTATTCGATTGAATTAAAAACTTATTTTCATAATTATTTATAAGATGGTAAATAATAAATATTGCATTGTATTTAGTTTATATACAGGGTGATCCTAAAGTAACTCCCTATTTTATGTATGATAGACTCTCCCATCTAACTATAATTTTTACAATTTTGGGAGAGTTCACTATTCATAAAAGAGTTACTTTTCAATCACCTTGTACATTGATAAATTTGTAATTTAAAAATATTTTTTAATAGAAAAAAATTGTTTCAAATTTACTTCTTTATAAAATTTTAGATAATAATTCTTTATAAAAGTTAAACAATCTTGCATTGTATTGTATTTGTTCACATATTTTTATAACCTTGTAAATAAATATTGACAAAGGAGTAAAAAGTGTTTACAGTAATAAAGGTGTTCCAATAACTTGCACCGATTTTAAATGTGAATTAATTTTAAGCATCTAATGATTTTTTTTTTTCTTTCAGATTTAACAATTTAAGCCTTTGACAAATTCAACCATGGAAGGATTAACAATCAAACAACGTGTTAAAGTTTCAAAGTGCAATTGGAAAAATTGTTTGTAAATTCAAACAAACTGGGTCGGTGGCAGATGTGAAAACACCATTGCATTGCTTTTTTTGACCGTTTATTGCTGCTGTGCACAAGAATGTAACCAAAAATCCAGACACCTCTATTTGTCACTGCGTGCAAGAATTGAACCTCCCCACAACAAAGTTACATCATTTCCAACTGCACTCTGGGTTGGTCGATTATTTTGACCAAAAAACATCATGAAGTGCATGAGATGCATTTCTGTTTGAACGTCCATTTTTGTAAAATGGTTTCTATAACTTTAATACATTGTTTGATTGTTAATCTTTCCATGGTTGAAATTGCCAAAGATTTAAGTTGTTAAATCTGAAAGAAAAAGAAAAAAAAACCATTAGACGCTTAAACTTAATTCACATTTAAAAACAATTCAAGTTATTGAAACACTCTTTAGTAATAATCAAACATTGCCAAGTCTCAAATAATGACAGTATAATTTTAAAAGTACTATGAGCAGCTTAAGCTTTGTACCTGCAAAAAACAGTTATTCCCTTGACGCCACTATTATTGTATACACTTTTGACTTCCTCTCAGCAATGATTAGAATTTTAATAAAACCCAAACATATGGAAGTGGATTTATACATTTTCTTTATTCTTGAGAATTGACAACAAAGACGTTAAACACTATTTATTTATTAGATTACTTATTTACAAGATTAATTTTATATTTTCAAGATTATAAGGATATATGAACTGACTACAATGAAATATCTATTATTTGCCATTTTATAAAGAAATAAATACGAAAATAAATTTTTTTATTCATAAATTTATAAAAATGTCTGTGAACAAGAAAATCTAAAACATCTAATGACGAATATCTATAATTATAAATTTTGAAAAGATGTGTATTCCTGTCATGTCTTTTATTTGCACCCACCACATAAATTCATTGAAATACGTCAAGAGCATCTCTTCTTCTGCTTACATATTTGGATCATTTCGTAATTTTTTAAAGATATCTTTGAATATAAGAGATTTCTTTTCAAATTTAATTCTTCATAAAATGGTAAATAACAAATCTTTATAAATGGTAAATAAATGGCCTGATAATTGCATTTAGCAGGAAAAAGACTGTCACCTCTGGGTGTTGACTTCAATGTTCACTTATATATATATATATATATATATATATATATATATATATACAAAATGGACTAAGTCCAACAATTATTTTCATATATTTTATTGTTATACATTATTTATATAGACACAAATATTTAAGTAAATGCTCTGTTTATAATAAAACAATGTTAACAACATTTACTGGCCTGAATGTCCAAGAAATTTCATAGAAAATGTGTTCTCCGACAGGAGGGAAAACTTTATCCTACACAGAACCACCATATAGCCTAACGTGCCATACCAGTTTAGCTACAAAAGAGCATCTGGTTAGCAGGGTCAATTTTACTGCTTTTAAACAAACTTCCCATGATTTCCTTCGGACATCCATATCTGCTCAAAGCATAACTTAATGTAAAGAAATGACGTCATATATTATGAAATGGACTAAGTCCAACAATTATTTTAATATATTTTATTGCCATACGTTATTTATATATATATATATATATATATATATATATGAATATACACCTCGACTTCATATATGCATTTAGCATGAAACAAACTGTCACCTCTGGGTGTTGACCCTAATGTCCACTTTTATATTTACATACGCTCTATCTCTGATATTGAGCACTTTATCCCATAAATATAGCATACCTTAAAACAATATTTTATTGTAAATGCTAAATAATGAATATCACATAGTACTTTGTTCGCATATTTTTATAAACTTGTAAACAAACATTGCTGAGAGAATCAAGGTGTATACAATAATAGTGGTGTCAAAGGAATAACAATCCTTTTAACACACAAATGTTTAACACTGCCAATTTTTTTTTCTTATTCTAGTTGAGCAGCATTGTTAAATATTTTGACAACGTCCGGATATTGATAAAGTTTGTTGACCAGCATTTCAAGGGAGGCAATTCCATGTGTATCTAAAGGGTACAGCTGGATTGGTAGATATTCATATTCACAATATGTCACATTATGGTTATCTGCTTCCAATGTCTTTCTCACGGTACCAAGATTTTTTTCGCCAGTAACAAACTGTAAAAGACAGCATACAATCAATAAATAGATACAACTTCATAGATGTCATAAGTTTTACAAAATTTTTAAATTTAAGAACACTCAAAAATATATTTCAGACAAACTGAAAAGTCAAAATAAATTATGGAGGATGCTAAGTTTTGGTTTCTTTTGTTTTATATCATATCAACCTCAATGACTTATTTAAAGCTGACAAGATTTTTTTTTGCTGATAATATTTATTTTCTTCAAAATGTATAGCTGGTAATATTTTTTTTCAAAAATGTATCACTGGTAATTTTTTTTCCTTTCAAAAATGTATTGATGGAAATATTTTCTTCAAAAAATGTATTGATGGAAATATTTATTTTCTTCAAAAAAATGTATTGACGGAAATATTTTTTTTCTTCAAAAATGTATTGATGAAAATATTTTTTCTTCAAAAAATGTATTGCTGGTAATATTTATTTTCTTCAAAAAATGTATTGCTGGTAATATTTATTTTCTTCAAAAAATGTATTGCTGGTAATATTTATTTTCTTCAAAAAATCTATTGATGGAAATATTCATTTTCTTAAAAAATCTATTGATGGAAATATTTATTTTCTTCAAAAATCTATTGATGGAAATATTTATTTTCTTCAAAAATATATAGCTGGTAATATTTTTTTTAAAGATGTAGTGCTGGTAATATTTTTTTTTCAAAAATGTATTGATGGTAATATTTATTTTCTTAAAAAAATATATCGATGGTAATATTTATTTTCTTCAAAAATCTATTGATGGAAATATTTATTTTCTTCAAAAATGTATTGATGGTAATATTTATTTTCTTCAAAAAATCTATTGATGGAAATATTTATTTTCTTCAAAAATGTATTGATGGTAATATTTATTTTCTTCAAAAAATCTATTGATGGTAATATTTATTTTCTTCAAAAATGTATTGATGGTAATATTTATTTTCAAAAAAAAATATAGCTGGTAATATTTTTTTCAAAGATGTATTAATTGGTAATATTTTTTCAAAAAAATGTATGGTATTATTTTTTTCAAAAATGTATTGATTTTTAATATTTTTTTCAAAAAATGTATTGATGGTAATATTTATTTTCTTCAAAAATCTATTGATGGAAATATTTATTTTCTTCAAAAATGTATTGATGGTAATATTTATTTTCTTCAAAAAATCTATTGATGGTAATATTTATTTTCTTCAAAAAATCTATTGATGGTAATATTTATTTTCTTCAAAAATGTATTGATGGTAATATTTATTTTCTTCAAAATATATAGCTGGTAATATTTTTTTTCAAAGATGTATTGCTGGTAATATTTTTTTTCAAAAATGTATTGATGGTAATATTTTTTTTTCCAAAATTGTATTGATGGTAATATTTCTTTTCTTCCAAAATATATTGCTGGTAATATTTTCTTCAAAAATATGTATTGATTGTAATATTTTTCCTTAAAAAACGGATCATGTGATACTTAAAGCAGAAGTAACCCTTAAAACTCACTCTATTGCAGGTACCATGAAGTTGACTATTGGGTAGGCACTAGCAAAGTTTTGAATTCAGCAGGAAGCTAGCAGCCATAGTTAACAGTAAATCTTACTTAATTGCACAATCACAAAACCCGTAAACCATCAGGATCATAGGGGCACCATATGTACTGCATTTTTTTAGAAGTCGTGCTTCCTGGGCAAGATTGTCTAATAGATCCCAACCCCCTCCAGGCTGGTTTGAATTCAGAGTTTCCTTCTCCTAGACTGGATGCCAATCAAGGCTATAGGACACAGTCTGTCCTGCTATTTACTCACAGATGGGAGCAGAGGGACCAAACAACACTCCTCAATTTTTTGAATTCAGAGTTGCCCTTCTCCTAGAGCAGTAACCACTCAAAGCCGAGACCAAGTCTGTCCAGCAGCTGAAGGCAGTGGAACCAAACAATCCTCCTCAGGTTTGTGTATTCAGAGTTGTCCTTCTCCTGAACCAGATGCGAACCAAGGTTAAGAGACCCAGTCTGTCCTGCTATTTATCTGCAGCTCGAGGCAGAAAGACCAAACAACCCTCCACATGTTTGGTTTGGTTTGGTTTACAGCATATCAACCTCAATGGGTTATTTAATGCCAACAAGATTTTTATTGCTGGTAATTTTTTTTTTTTCAAAAATATATTGCTGGTAACTTTTTTGTTTTTTAGGTTTTTTTTTTTTTAAATATACAGCTGGTAATATTTTTTTTTTCCAAAAATATATTGCCAGTAATAATGTATTGCTGGTAATAATTTTTCTTCAAAAATTTATTGCTAGTAATAATTTTTACAAAAAAGTGTTTCTGGTATTAAAACCTATTTTTACACTTTCATAGTGCTTTTTGATGGGTTAACTATTTACCCATAGCTGGGACCCTAACAGGTGCTACCACCTCAGGTCAGGGTGGGCCTGGGAATACCAGCAATTAAGAGGTGGTTCCACACTCCTCAAAACCTCCTGATCAAAGGCCTTGCTGTTGGACATAGTTTTTCGTCTTACCCACGACATGGACGTAATTTATCGTCATACCCAGGACAATCCTCATGTCTGTGCATTCAGAGTTGTTCCTCTCATAGACTAAATGCCAACCAAAGCTATAGGATTCAGTCTGTCTTGCTAATTACCCATAACTGGTGGGTGGGGGAGAAAAAAAGATAGATTCATAATTTTTCCAAGCGTATTAGCACATAAGTTAATGTAATGAACTTGACTAGAAATTGAACTCCGCACTCAAATTCCTCAATCCAAGCTGCTAACCATTACTCCACCATGCCTCTTTATTAAACTAAACTGTTGGGCAGATGATAACAAACTTTTATTCTGTACCACTTTCCGCTTTCTGTCAAGCATATTAAATCTTAACTAAACTTTGGTTGATTATTTTTGTTTAGTGGGATATTTAATGCCGAAATCTAAATATTTTGTACACAATTTTATTTTACACTTTAGAGATAATAATGGTTTAGTGATGCAAGTCTTACTAATTAACCCATAGCTTGGAGGACAAGAGGTGGATTCATACCTGTCCCAAGGCCATTTGCATATAAGTGAGTATAACAAACCCAGCATGAATTGGAACTCAGCTTTCTGATTTCCAATTACAAGACATTATTCATTACACCAGCTGCACATCCAAGCTTACAGCACCTGGTATTCCCAAATGGTCACCCATCTAGGTACTGACCAGGCTCAACATTGCTTAACTCCAGTGATTGTACAGGAACTAGGCTCCCTGGTTAATAATTCTGAGACATTATCCATTACACCAGCCACACATTCAAGCTTGTAGCACCTGGTATTCCTAAATAGTCACCCATCTAGGTACTGACAAGACTCAACATTGCTTATCTTTGGTGATTGTATGGGAGCCTGTGTTTCAATGTGATGTGGCCATAGGTGAATTTAAACTCTGGTAAAGAGATAATTCTCCATTTATCAGAGAACCGCTCCACCATGGGACACTAGGTATATAGCCCTCACAAAATACATATGAAACAACCACTGAAATGGTTATGGTGTGCACAACTGTGACCCAGATATGTATCACTATGTCAAATGAAGCTAAGGTTCTGGAGTCTTTGAATTTCAAGAAACACTGACCTGAAGATAATGGGCACCATCTTCATCTGATACCACAGACACATCTTCGGCACCAACATCAATTGCCAATTCCAAAGCTGATTCCAAATCTGGTTTTTCTGTTGTCATCACATGAATGATACCTTTTTTCTCAAAGAGGCCCTGAGTGCAACCATTTTCAATTTTACCTCTGCAAAGAGAAACCAAAAATGAAAAACACTGTTCGTCAATCAGTCGGAGACCTAACAAGCACTGACAGATTTACCGAAATATAAGCACAGTCACCAGGCACAAATTAAAATCCAAATTATGTTTATCAGAGCATGTCAAAAAGTAATGCCTTTTCTTTTTTGTTTTACATAAATGATCTGCTTAAGAGTATAGACCGTTCGTTTGTGAATATCTATGCTGATGATATAACAGTATATGGACGCAATTCCCTAATTCTAAACAACCAGAGAATGGCAGCTGATCTCTGCTCAGATTTAGCTTGAACAGCTCAGTGTGGGAAAAGCTGGCTGGTTACATTCAATGCCTAGAAAAGCAAACTCATTACATTCCATCATCGTTGATCAGACCCTGAATTGAATGATGTTCCCTCAGGAAGGCCCCATAGTTTGATCACCTATTGGGCCTTAAACAAAACTAAGCGCTCAAGTGAAACTCATACACAAAATCCATCTCTAAAGATGCTGGGAAAATGGGAAGCACTCCAGTAAGTACCTGATTCCGCCTGCTATCTTCTATCTTTAGAAGAGCCAGATCAAGCCAAAAATGGAATACTGCCACCATATTTGGGCAGGAGCTGCCCGGTCTTCATTTTCCAGTCTTGATAGAGTCCAAAAATGTCTCCACATCCTTGTAGGTGACAAATTATTTTCTACTCTGCAACCTTTTTCTCACAGATGAATCATCGCAAGCCTCTCACTGTTCTATTGCTATTTCCAACGAACTACATTTTAGCTCTACCCTTCACAACTAATACCTGTCATGCCATGCACATTGTAGTGAAAATCCTTCATTCTCTTTATATTCCACTCGTTGGTTTGGTTTGGTTTGGTTTGGTTTACGGCATATCAACCTCAATGGGTTATTTAATACCAACAAGATTTTATTGGTGGTAATATTTTTTATCTATCTATCTATCTATCTATTGGTTTGGTTTGTTTTACCGCATATCAACACCTCAATGGTTTATTTAATGCCGACAAAATTTTTATTGCTGGTAATGTTTTTCTTCAAAAATCTATTCCTGGGAATATTTTTCCTTGAAGAAATCTATAGCTGGTCATATTTTTTTCCAAAGAATGTATAACTGTTTGTATTGCTGGTATTTTTTTTTTAAATATTGTTGATAATAATTTTTCCTTCAAAAATATTTGCTGGTAATAATTTTTTTATTACAAAGTATTTCTGGTATTAAAACCTATTTTTACACAAGTTTGAGTGTTAACTATTTGCCCATGGCTGGGTCCCTAACAGGTGGTACTACTCCAGGTCAGCAATTAAGAGGTGGTTCCACGCTCCTCAAAACCTCCTGATCAGAGGCCTTGCTGCTGGATGTAGTTTATCGCCTTACCCAGAATACGGATGTAGTTTATTGTCATACCCAGGACAGTTTACACAAGTTTGGGTGTTAACTATTTGCCCATAGCTGAGACCCTAACAGGTGCTACCACCCGGGTCAGGGTGGACCTGGGAACACCAGCAATTAAGAGGTGGTTCCATGCTCCTAAAAACCTACTGATCAGAAAGCCTTGCTGCTGGATGTAGTTTATCATCTTACTCAGGACACGGATGTAGTTTATCGTCATACCCAGAATTGATTCCACTGGTCGGACATAAGTTCCACTCAAACAGCTCCTTCCCATGAAGCGCTGATCTGTGAAACCGACTTCCAACAGGATGCTTCCCCGATCACTACAATCTTAACCTGTTCAAGTCTAGGGTTAACAGTTGTCTTCCATACATATCCCAATAAACTGCACCTCTTACTCTGTAAGCCTCTACCTCGAGTGGCTCCAAGGCCTTGTACAAGGTGAACATCAGTGTAAAAAAAAAACTTTATTGTTGATTTTTGTTGTAATACTGGGGCCATTTTATACTCTAAAACCAAAAAGCACTTACCCATGTTTCCGACAGACTGTTTGCATTTCATTCCTGGCTAACTGCAGTTTGCTTGTCATGATCTCTATGAGAAGGACGCAGTTCCCAATGAATTTCACCTCAACAAAGGAAGAATTAGATGATTTTAGTTTCTGAAAAAGAAACAAAAAAAAAATATGCTAGTATTTTTCTTGAAAAGTTGCAATATGGGAGGAAATGCTAAAATCAGGTATGGCTGATCATGTGTGGAGCAAAAAGCAAGTTCTTCAATTCAGAATAATAGAAGGAAAATAACAGGATTGAAAGAATTATCACAGATACTAAACTCTAATAACTTGCTAAGTAAGCCTTAGCTATACAATAATTCTGCCATTTTCTTTTCCCTCTCATTTAAGTAATTTAAAGGATGCTTATTTTGTGGGTTACATCACAAATCAGTTATTGTTGGAATTTTTTTTACATGGTGCCTATTCAATAGGTGTTGAAAATGTGAGCCAGGTGACAGGCAAACATATCTACTCCTATTTATCCATTCACAACAGAGAAGGCTTGGCACTAGACTGGTTACCAACCAAGGCTACAGTTCAGTCTAAACTGTTATTTATCTGAAAGCTGAGGGGATGGAAAGAAAAAATGTCTTTAAAACCATCCGTAGGTGATCTTGATTCTCCACAGATTCCTTTTTCTTTATTATTTGTAAAATGCCATGCATTCTTGGGCGAGATAGTCAAGTGGTTTCACACTGTCTTCTCCTGTTTTCCTTCTTTTAGACTGATTACCAACCAAGGCAAGAGAGTCCACACAACTCTGCTATTTAACCCACATCTGGGGGAGAGGAAGAAAAAAAGGAGTTATGTCTTTCCCAAGTTAGAAATGGAATGCAACGGTGTAGCTCGGAATTTGAACCTATCCATAGGCGATCATGGCTCTCCACAGATTCCTTTTTCTTTATTATCTATAAGATGCCTTGTAAGAGTAGCCTAGGATTTTAATCCAACTCTCCAGTTCTACCTATTTTATAAGGGGGGGGGGCTTTTTTGTAGAGTGTAGCATTTCCAGGTTAAATACAATTTATCCTTCACGTCATCGGACGGAGAAAAGAGGAACTTAGTTGATGGTTTGACTGATCCAGCATTTGAACCTAATAGAATCTACATAACCATCAATGTCCCTTCTCTCAAAACACCATGTTCATGCCTGTTTGAAAGTAAAAAGAATATTTACTTTTATTATTTCAAACTATCATCCAAGATGATATAGAGGTTTTTATTTTTACTAATGTTCATCAAATACAAGGACCACTTAATGTAGAGGGTTACCGTGTGGACTTATATTAGCATTGGACAGAACAAGAAGTTAAATTCTTGTGGGTATGTAGAAAAGATAACGGCTACCTCAAGACTGGAAGAGGTCAAGATTTAATTAGTGAATAAAATTTCAAAATTCACAGAGACGTTAGAATTGAAGATGACTTTAGAAGGAACCAGAGACCCAATCCTAAACAGGAAACATGGGACAAAACTCCTGTTCAAAAGTGTGGGGAGGAGTGTGAACTAGACAATAGGCAAACTTATCTACTCCTACTGGGTGAAGAAAAATAATAATAATAACTAAATAAAATTTCAGATTCCTAGCGGAGACGTCACAACTACAGAGTTGAAGGAACCGGAAAACCAATCCTAACAGGAAACAAAGGATATATACCTACTCCTGTTCAAAAAATGGGAGGAGTACAAACCTGACAATAGACGTTGTTGTTAGTGATGGTGGTGGTGTTATTATTATTATACAACTTTTCGAAAATCTTCCTTTTCTAGGAATGCGCCTTTTGAGATGAACAATCTTGGAAAATGAAGGAATTCTGATTTAAGGTGAAAAGGTGCACTGGGCAAAGAAGTTTGAGAACGACTGATATACGAGGTATATACGTGATTAAAAAAAAATCTAACAGGGGGAATAACTCAAAATATTTCAGGGAGGTAACTGTAATATTTTCATTGATGCTATAAGAAAAACTTTATCGAGTAAGAAGTCTTAGGATGTTTATCAATTATGCGCATTTGTAGCTTAGTTTAATGCAAACACACGCGCATTTATATACTCCTTGATGAGTGGACAGAGTAATTCCTGGAGGGTCCGTTTATGAAACTGTGGAGTCGGATGCTGAAGGTAACATCAATCAGCTAAATGACAAACTTTTTACTTGTATAAATTTATATATATATGTGTAATATAGTTTTAAGGTATGTAAATATAGAAGTGAATATTAAAGTCAACACTCAGAAGCGACAGTTTGTTTCATGCTAGACTCAATCGTCAGGCCACTCTGAGTGTTGACCTCAATGTTCACTTATATATATATATATATATATATATGCAAGCTTCATTAAAAACAACTGACAAGGTGCTGTGGTTAAGATTTTATATATTTTTTCTTTTCAGGACATAAGTAAAAAAAAAAAAAACTTAACCACAGCACCTTGCCAGTTGTTTTTAACAAAACTTACATAAGATGGATTGCTGATTGCTGTGTGTGTGTGTGTATATATATATATATATATATATATATATATATGTATGTGGATGTATATATAAATAAAAATATATGTATATATAAATAAAAATTCGCTTGAGGATGAAATGGAACTAATGTCTTTAATTTAATTACAAAATTAAATTCGTAGCTTTTAGCTTCCATTTTTGAAACATGGTAAGAACTGTGTAGAAAAAAAAAACTATATATATATATATATATATATATATATATATATATATATATATATATATATATATATATATATATATATATATATATATATATATATATATCAAAATCAAATGACAGTTAGAACAGTTGGTATGATGTTTGCTTGACAACCTAACTGTCAGGGTTTCAATTCTCGGTAGTGGATGCGCACTGCTGATGAGTCTCAAATATAGGACGAAACGGCCGTCCAGTGCTTTCTGCATTCCGTTGAGGTTTTTATCAGACTTGATGAATAAATATATATATATATATATATATATATATATATATATTTATCAATAATTAAAATTGACCTCTTTAAAATTGAAATAAATAAAATGTCTGAGCAAATTTCCTTATATAAATGCAATTGGTGCAGTCAATGCTGAAAAGTGAAATATCCAAGTTCACTATTCAAACTGCTTCACCATTGTCACTAGTAAACTGATGTGATGAATATGCATACACCTTGATTCCCCTCACAATAATATGATTGGCTGGTGTCAGCCATAAATACACACTGATGTGGATGTACATGATGACGCCTATTGGCTACGCCTATAGTCTTCGCCTATTGCCTACACCTATTGCTTACCACTACAATGAGGACCAGGCCATTAGGGTTACCTGCTAGATTGTCCTACTCGGTTACAGTAGTCCAAAACCACTTTGTTACTTCAAACAAATATAATCCTTTCCAAGATATATCACAAACACACAGAAATGAGCCCTAATAGGCAATAATACAGTGAAAGTATTAAAGTGCTTTATGACTCTACAAATAACTGCTAGAAAACTTTTCTGCCAAAGAATCATCAGAGCTATGTAGAAATCCTTCATGTATCATTAAATTCTTCTATTTTTCTTTCCATTAAACCTGTTGTTAATTATCAAGAGTCTGTTGGCTTGTTCTGAGGAATTGGTTTTCAGAACAGACAAATAAGTAACCATGGCTCATTGGGGAATCACACCTAATTCTCAGCAAGCGTACAACACCACATCCCTAATCACTTGATGAAATCACCATTATTTCTGGTTACCTGACAGCATGCTGTGGTCTTCTACACATGATGACCATATCAAGAGATAACACTGCCAAATAACAACTCAAAGAATACTATGTCTTTAGTAGCATTAAACATTGACTGGTTCATAAAATTTTGACAGAATAAATCAATTTTCAGTCAATATTCTCTTTTTCAAATTGTTTAAATAAACCATTCTTGTTCATTTGCAAATACTTACAGCTTGGTTGATTGCACTCTCTATCATAGCATTGGACATGTCTGCTTTCTTTGCTTCAGCAATCAGCTTTTCAAGCTTGGGATTGTATTTTGGGTCATTACCACCCTCTGAAATAATGAAACAAAAAAAAAGAAAAACAAAGACAGAATTTATTACAAAATGCAAAAATGAACACGTTTCCCGTTTCATACAAATTATTACAAAACACAGAAATGAACATTTTCTGTTTTATGTAAAATATTACAAGACCTGGAGATTTTAATCCTCCAATCTCCAATATATATAGTCTGCAAGGATACTTGTGGCATCCAGTGTGAAGACTGCTTATGGCTAGAAACTAACAATCACTATATAGTATTGATTTCTATTCTCAAATTTTCTATATATCAAGTTGTAATGAAAGTTCTCTCATATCAAACAGATAAATCTCATTTTTTGCATTAACATGAAAAAGAAAAGTGACTTTAAATGTGGCATGGTTTGTGGCGCCAGACAGGTGTGTCTGAGTATTCTCAAAAAACTGCTGATCTACTCAAATTTCCATGAGCAACTGCCACTTCGATTTACAGAAATTGGTAAGAAAAAGGATAATTTTTTTTCATTTTATTTCTAAATGCAATATTTTTTAGTTTATTTCCTAAAAGAAAATTTTTTAGTTTATTTCTAAATGCGATATTTTTTAGTTTATTTCTAAATACGATATTTTTTAATTTATTTCTGAATGCAATATTTTTAGTTAATTTTTAAATGCAATATTTTTTTATTTCTAAAAGCAATATTTTTTATTTCATCTCGAAATGCAATTTTTTTTTTTTTTTGTTTTATTTCTAAATGCAATTTTTTATACAAGATCGATCTAGCCATTTTTTGTATTTATTTAATTTAGCATACTTGTCTGAAATAATGGTCCTTACTTTCGGTTATAAATTGGTTAGCTTTGTTTATTTAATTACCTTTTAGTTTTATTTAATTTATTTATCGAAAAACGTGTTCAGAAGACGAAGTTCAGCAAAGAAATCTAAGGGAGATAATTCAGTATTTATTAGGACAAAAAATCGGATGCTAAAAAAATGAAAGATAACCTTTTTCATTTTTACAGTTAGTTCACCTGACAAGGCATTAAAATTAATATTGTTAGGTATGTTTCTCGACCAGAAAGCGTTAACTGATCCTACCTTGGTCTGGTCCTAACTAAAGTAAAAGTGTTTATGATCGTTCAAGCAAGTAGAGATGTTTCTCTTACCTTTGACCGCAACTCGTAACCGCTGAGCGAACTTTGACGACAAATGCGATTTTTCTTTGTCTTTAGCACCTTTGATGTGTCTAATATTTTGCCATTTGCTGTGACCAGCCATGCCGCGTACAGGAAAAAAACAGTGAAGTAAATAAGAGTGAGAAACCGCTGCCTCCTCTCGTATTAAAAATCGCTTTCGTTCATCGACTATCGCATTCGGCTTTCGGTACTGAAAGCAAGGAATCGAGAGAAGAGGCTGACAGCAATAAAAACGGCCATCGTAAAATAGTTTATTCCTAGTAACAGATAATAAAGTTGCCGTTGTTAATCGACTTCGGAAATGGACACAGCAGTGGCGTGCGGCTGACCGTGTCACTTGTAAAATATTATTCATCATCAAAAAAAAAGTGGAGGCGGCTCACAAATGAAGAATAAATATTTCTCGCTACAAAATACTTGGTAGATAAATCACTTTAAAAAAATCGACATAAAATTAAAAGATTTTACACGTTATTCTTTTAAAAACAAACATTGACCTTAAAAGCGTGAAGATTACAGACGGTGTTGACTGTAACTTGTAACGCAACCGGTGTCTGCTAATTGAGTTCCTAAACATAAATTGGACCGTATTAGGTCGGAATCGATATTTGTATGATAGCACAAAATGTGGCACAAGGCCAAAAAGGGGATTGGGATTTTATTCATCATAAAAAAAGCGGGGGCGACTCACAATTTGTTATTTATTTATCAAAAAACGTGTTCAGAAGACGAAGTACAGCAAAGAAATCTAAGGGAGGTAATTCAATATTTATTAAGCCAAAAAATCGGATGCTAAAAATAAAATGAAAGATAACCTTTTTCATTTTTACCATCAGTTCACCTGACAAGGCATTAAAATTAATCGGTCTTCTTCTGTCTTAATTCTAAACTTAGCTAGCCACAAACAGTGATTGAAACATACCAACAATAGTCCTAACACCAAAACAACACATTCTTTACTACCTTTCTTACTACATCCACCATAATACCTCACAATGTCTCTGTGAATTCTAACTAGTCCCGATATGTACATTTCTTTGACTGTTGGAGAGGGGAATAAAACAACAATTTTTTAAAATCCCCAATGAGTATTTACAATATGATTAAATTCTATTTACATGGAAACAAAACAAAATAATGTTAGTAATAAAAAAAAAAACACAATCCCTAAATGTGACAGAAAAATCAGTTAACTGGACCAAAAAAATGTGGGATTATAATAGTATAAAAAACATTCATTCATCCCAAGCACTCACACAAACACGCACTCATTCAGACACAACATTAACAACAAATACGAAAACACACGCGTGAAATGAAAGGCATGCCGCATCTACCAGAGAACTGACATCACTGACAATATTTATTGCTGTAGATATACAACAAATGTGGCACAAGGCCAAAAAGGGGGTTAGGGTAAAGGACGGTCATCACTTTTCTTAAAACTTAGCTAGCCACAACCACTGACCCTATCATACAGAACAATATTCCTTTCACCAAAACAACACGTTTATCCATACCTTTCATACTACATCCACCAAAATACATCTTTGTCTCAATGAAAATCCTAAATACTCACCTTATGTACAAAAATTGTCTGTGGGGGAGGGCATAAAAACAACAATCTTTAAAAGATCCCCAATGAGTATATACAATATGACTTATAATATATTTACAAGAAACTAAACAAAAAGGTGTTAATAATACCCCCCCACACACACACACACACAAACCTTAAATGTGGCAGAAATATTAGTTAACCGGACGAAATCGACGCGGGACTATGAAAATAAAGGAAACATTCATTCCTCCCAAGCATTCACACAGGCACACACACATTCATACACAACAACAAATACGAAAAACACACACGCGAAATGAAAGGCGCCCCGCATCTACCAGAGAACTGACATCACTGACCACCTAAAGAGAAGTGGGAGAGTTAAACTAAAGAAAAATAGGGACAGAAATAAAAGGGGCCAATGAGCATACATACCCTAGCTAAGTGAACCGGAAACAGGAAACTAAAGACTCACCGTATGATGTCGGAATCATATTCACTAAAGATAACTGGGTCCATTTTGAATTTTTTTTTTTTTTTTACATACGAACGTGCAGTGCTTTATGACCAATCGCTATCTTATCAACATTTGCTTTTTATTTTACAAATTAAAAACTAAGCACAATTGGCTATTAATTAAATTTTTTCATGGATTTTGACGTCAATCTAAGGTTTCTTTTGTTTTTTCCACCAAATCTGTTTGTTTTCCACTTTTGCTCATGTTAAATCTCGAAAAAACTATATAAAAAATTCACGATGTTTTTCCAATCAGTATTTTTGGACGCAGGGCCGGGATGTGGGTCCCCATGAAAGCTGAATATAAAACACCCTAACTCTATTACATTTAAAAAAATTTCTTTATATAAAATTCAAATTTTATTTGTTGATAACCTATAATGTTGAATATGTTTAAAATTCTTCAACAATAAAACTCTCAAGTTGGTGATAAAGTTTACCGAAAAAAAAACATTGTCATTTTATTTGTCGAATGATCTTGTAGTAGATCTAAGAAGGATGCATGAATATTTAAGATTGTACTGCAAATAAAATATGCAATATCCACATAAATTATAAGAAAAGGCTAAATGGTAACGATATTCAATCACGACACAAAATACATATTTGAAACAACAGATTAAATTTTATATACACAATTTACAATTTCTGTCTATATTTCTGAGATGAGGTATTATGTACATTATTTATATTATTCGGACTATTGTCCTCATTTTTGTCGCTATATTTATTGCAACGTTTCGGCCGTTGTACGCTACGGCCTTCTTCAGGTGGTTGGAATGTCGAACTGAACCATTTATTCCTTACGTTTACGAAATGGTGTTCTTTGTCTATGATCTCAACCTGATCCCACAGAGGGCGGTGATCTCCTTCTCTCTCCACATATGGAATCAGCAAAAATTGTTAAACAAAAAATCTCCTGAGCCGACCAAGCATAGAAATGAATAAAATATGGGAACCAGTAAAATGAATGTCATTGATAATAATAGCAAAAATTGCAATATGAGCTCTGGTAAAATATGCATTGATAACAGCAAAAATTGCAATATGAGCTCTGGTAAAATATGCATTGATAACAGCAAAAATTGCAATATGAGCTCTGGTAAAATATGCATTGATAACAGCAAAAATTGCAATATGAGCTCTGGTAAAATATGCATTGATAACAGCAAAAATTGCAATATGAGCTCTGGTAAAATATGCATTGATAACAGCAAAATTGCAATATGAGCTCTGGTAAAATATGCATTGATAACAGCAAAAATTGCAATATGAGCTCTGGTAAAATATGCATTGATAACAGCAAAAATTGCAATATGAGCTCTGGTAAAATATGCATTGATAACAGCAAAATTGCAATATGAGCTCTGGTAAAATATGCATTGATAACAGCAAAATTGCAATATGAGCTCTGGTAAAATATGCATTGATAACAGCAAAATTGCAATATGAGCTCTGGTAAAATATGCAATAACAGCAAAATTGCAATATGAGCTCTGGTAAAATATGCATTGATAACAGCAAAAATTGCAATATGAGCTCTGGTAAAATATGCATTGGTAACAGCAAAAATTGCAATATGAGCACTGGTAAAAAATGATTGCTGAAGACATTAGGTTTAAAATACCCAGAAATTCATACACATATGTCCTCAAGGATACATAGCACAGTGGATAAAGGCGTTAGTTAGATCCAGTGATAGTACCCAAAGAGTGTGAGTTCAATAAAAAAAAAGTGTGAGTTCAGTGTGAGAACTTTCAGAAGGAAATTAACAGGAGATAACTGGTAACTGACATCCATTAGACATGGCACGTGGAACTAGAACCGTCTACCCGAGTGAGCGAAATAAAGGGTTCAGTTTGACATTCCAACCACCTGAAGAAGGCCGGAGCGTATAACGGCTGAAACGTTGTAATAAATATGGCGACAAAGATGAGGACAATAGTCCGAATAATGTAAATAGTGTACATAATACCTCAACTCAGAATTATAGACAGATCAGAAACGTTGTAATAAATATGGCGACAAAGATGAGGACAATAGTCCGAATAATGTAAAAGGAACATAATACCTCATCTCAGAAATAAACAGATTGAAAGGCCGAAACGTTGTAGTAAATATGGCGACAAAGATGAGGACAATAGTCCGAATAATGTAAATAGTGAACATAATACCTCATCTCAGAAATATAGACAGATACTGAAAGGCCGAAACGTTGTAATAAATATGGCGACAAAGATGAGGACAATAGTCCGAATAATGTAAATAGTGTACATAATACCTCAACTCAGAATAGTCCGAATAATGTAAATAATTTACAATTTTTTTGTAATGATGTGTGCAAAGGTATAGAGAAAAAGTTCTTTGCTGTTTCAGGAATGTTCAATGTCTAAAAACTTGTCTGCCTTTGATTGAAAGGTTGAATTTAAACTTAAACGAAAGATTTTTCTAAAGGTGTTACGTGAAAAAGTTGTATGAATTTTTTCAATCTCTCATGAAGAAAGTTTGTTTCTTTGGCGGCAATTTTGACACATAATTCCCGTGTGTATCTTTGCGTGTGTGAGTCTCAAAAAAGAGACGAAAATTCATACACTGTTTCTATTTATAGTTTTTTTAACAACGAAATCGGCTCCACCAGCTTGGTAGATTGTTGGAAATTTTTCTGAAAAATGCGTGAGCGAATGTTGTATTTTTTTATTTTTTAGCCAATAGTATTTCTTGAAACATTTAAATTAGGGGTGAATTTAAGAAAGATTTTTTTATCTCAGTTGAGCCTATTTTGGGCACAAATTTTGACTGTTTTGTTATGGAAATTTCTCAAAGCTTATAATTATTTAACAACCAATGAAATTCAAGAAAATGTTTGAAAATTAAAATGAGGGTTACTAAAATCTGTTTATGACATGTTTCTAATAATCTGTATTTATTTTCAATTTTTCTACTTGAATTATTCACCTGTATTACATATGATCCATTATTGTACATAATTAGGTTAAATAAAATTTTAATTTTATATGAAGACTAATTTATAAAAATTCAGATGTAATAGAGTTAGGGTGTATTATATATTCGGGGCGGCGCCCGTATCATAGATTCTGTGGGGGCCCACCAGACACTTATCCCGGCCGTGCGTCCACTGCATATTGATTGGAGGCCCGGGCAATGCTTGGTGATCCTTACTATCTTATCAACATTTGTTTCTTTCCGCATACATTTATACGTTACAAATTAAACTAAGCAGAGTCAGTCAGTCGTGTGCCATGCGTGATACACGCTTAGGCGATCATGTATCTTTCGATACATGACTGACAAGGCAGATTTTTTTCCCTCAGTAGATTGCCATTTCTTTCTGCAGTAGACCAGTTGCCATTCAAGGCTATATAATCCGGCCTGTCCTGCTATTTACCCATAGCTGGGGGGACAAGAAGTGGATTCATACCTTTCCCAAGGGTATTAGCACGTCAGTGAATGTAATGGAATCGACTGGAATTCGAACTCGGCTCTCCGTTTCCTCAATCCGAGCCGCGAATTTTGACATCACTTTGGGGTCTTTTTTGAAGTGAATTTGTTTTGCTCATGCTAAATTTAGAAAAAAAAAAACACATAAAATTCACTATTTTTTTATCCATAATGTTGATTGTGCTAAAATTATACAACTTTTTAACAAGTTGATATTAAAAATTGCCGCAAAACGTTATTGATTTATTTAAGATGAAATGATCTATTATGACATATCTTTAAATTGTATTTAGATACATTGGATTTATTTTCAATTTTTCTAGTTAAATTATTCTCCTATATTGCATAGGATCCATTATTATGCATAATTAGGTTACAATAAAATTTGTATTTTATATTAACACCATGTTATGATAATTGAGATGTAGTAGATTTGGGGACCACATCATAGATTTGGTGCTTGTGTGTAGGGACATTGGACCCTGGCACCTACCCTGGCTATGTCTCCTAATTGTGTTGGGCCAAAGATTACTATGGGAAATTCAGCGTCATTTTTCTGGTAATAAAAAGACCTTGTTTTGGAAATTCTTGTAAAAAATTAAATAATTGTCAGATTTCAATGAAATTTTCAGGACTTGTTCACAAATGAATGAAATTATTTTAACTTCAAATTATTCAACTTGCTAACAAGAAAAATCTTAAGCTGATGTTAAAGATTTGTGCAAAACATTATTTATTTAAGATGGAATGATCTATTCTGACGTGTCTCTAATTTGTATTTAGATAAATTGTATTTATTTTCAATGTTTCTAGTTGAATTGTTCACCTATATTGCCATATCGTACGTTACAATTGAATAAATTTGTATTTTCTGTGAATATGTTGTGGATTTGTATTAACTCACAAGGAAGAAGGCGAGAAAGGTTTTTAAATATAAAATATTTTTATTTTTGTGTTTTTACAACTTAATCATAAAATAATAAGATTGATTCGTTTTTTACGGTTTATCAACCTTTTGCAGGTTATTGAAAGCCAGAAAATATTTTTCGAATGTAAGAATTTTGTTTTGTTTTTTTTATTAGATAATAATGATTTAGTGATACAAGTCTTACTAATTAACCCATATCTAGGGAGAGAAGATTTGAAATCATACCTTTCCAAAAGGTATATGCGCATAAGTGACAATAACGAACCCAACTGGAATTGGAACTCGGCTCTCCGATTAACAATTCCGAACCAATATCCATTACACCACATGCGCATCTAAGCTTACAGCACCTAGCATTCCCAAAAGGTCATCCATCTAGTTCCTGGCAAGACTCGAGGTTGCTTAACTTCGGTGATCGTACGAGAACCGGTCTTTCTACGTGATATAGTCGTTAAGCCATAAAATAAAGACCAGGGATAAGTCAGAAGAACGTAATTTTTTTTTATTTCATACACAGAGAACAAGCTAACAAAGTATAGAAATGTGTTACATACCTTCTCCCCGACACTGAAAAGAAAAGCTAGTGGGTGTTACAGCTACTGTCTTTACTCAAATGTCCCGTAAGTTATTTTCCAAGGAACCGTGTTTACTCATACTTCAGTAATGCATCTTCTCCTAGCATAATAGACTGGTAGCCTTTAGTCTAGGAAAAAAACAATTCTGAATCGAAAACCGCGGAGAGGCAGTGTAAAACTACGCCACTATCTTTCCCAAGAAGTTGTGGTGGATAATAAAGAAAAGGAACGTATGAAAGGCCAACATCCTGAATGAACAAGGCATTAAAAGAATGAGCTGACAGTTTGTGGTGAACCAATCTCATCACACACCCAGGTGAAAAAGGAGTTGCGTGTCTGGATAAAAAAAAATTGTTTGCGTTTCTCTTGATTAAATGTAGGTGGGTATGTGTGCTGTGTAGGAAAGTCTAGGTCTTTGTTTTTTCTTGATATGCCAACCCAATGTCAAAGTTCCGGGTTTTATATAAGGTGTAGTTAGATGTTTGTAGGATATGACAGAAAATGGGTTTTTTACTGATCATAATTGCTTTCGACTCATCGTAAAGTTCCGGCTTTTACAGAAAAAGTCAGTGTCACATCAAAAACAAGAGATAGTCAATATAGATAAATGTTACTTTTTACCTTTTGGATTTATTAGTATTCCAATATTTCCTTATCTTTTATTTTTTTAATTATTTTTTTATTATTTCAGTTTAATTTAGGTTATTCTTTTCTTTATTTGCTTTTCCGTTTTTGTTTTTTTTTAATTTATCGCAATGGGATATTTTCCTTTGCATACATCTCTTTATACAATGCCAATGATAATGGTAAAAATAGTCGTTTTCATTCAGGAAACACTCGGCATTCATCGATTGACCAGTTACCGTCACTTTTGGTTGAAATTTACGACACCTTTTTCTTAAAACAGTCTTTCAAAAATCGAGACTTCTCAAGTTCATTAACTGCTATCGATTTTTTTTTTGTACTGATAGGAGTTTCCGTCCAACCCTTTTGATTTTGTTAGCATGGAAAATCAATGCATTGACTGTATCATTATTTTCTCTTCGAGTTACAAGTGCTATTCATTTTAGTTGTTGCTGATACTGGTAGTCTTCAAGTGATATGTTTTTTTTATGTTATTTGGTGAAGCTCTTTGCTTATGACAAGCAGTGCGCGCCAAATGTGGGAAGGACTAGATCAGAACTAAATCGTTTCCCATTTTTAACTGATCTTGCTTCCCCACTATTAAGTGGAGAAGCAAAATCAGACGTTAAAAATGGTGGGGGGGGGCGAAATCAGATGTTAAAATTGGGGAGCCAAAATATGATTTTAAAAGGAGCATGGTAAAATCGAACGTTAAAAGCAGTGTGGGTGAAATCAGATGTTAAAAGCAAAGAAGCAAAATTTGATTTTAAAAGTGGGGAGGCGAAATGAGATGTTAAATTTGGGGAGGTGAAATTTGAATTTAAAAATGGAGAGACGAAATCTGATTTTAAAAGTGGGGAGGCGAAATGAGATGTTAAAAGAGGGGAAGTGAAATTTGATTTAAAAATGGGGAGACGAAATCTGATTTTAAAAATGGGGAGGCGAAATGAGATATTAAAAGAAGAGAGGGGAAATTTGATTTTTTGGGGAGATGAAAAGATTTTGGGGAAATGAGAAATCTGGGGATTGATTTTAAAAGTGGGGAAAAAAATGAGATGTTAAAAGTGGGAGGGGAAATTTGATTTTTAAAAGAAATGGGAGGGGGGTGAAATTTGCGAAATCTGATTTCAAATGTGGGGGGGCTAAATCTATTGTAAATTTGTTTTTTAGAGTTAATTTTTAGTCAATTCGGGAAATGGTCAAAGAAGTTGTTTTTTAAGAAGAGATCGAGGGACTCATGAGTCTCAGATTTAGCTCTATTCATTTTGACAACTTTATTGGTTGCTGGGATGTGTGTTTTGTGTGTATGTTATCTTTTAATTTTTGGAGATTGTATATGATGTGTGTATATGCATATATTTGTGTGAGTGTGTGTATGTGGGGGACCTCATCACCACTGTACGCATGTCTGTCTAGTGTGATTGAGGGTGAGAGGGTCCTTCATGGGCAGCGTCCTCTTCTATGTAGTAAAAGTAGAGTATATTCAACTATATATGTGTGAAAGAGAAATATGGGCGGGGTTGATCTGTCGGGTTATATATTAATTCTATCTGTGCTGTTTAGTTTATTGTTAAATCCGTCCGGACAAATTGTTTTAAGACACCAAATCCATTTGTCTTCATGCTCTTCTAGTATTTTTCTAAGGTCATCTTTTCTGTCTATTTGTAGTCTTTCAATAATAATGAATTTTGTATGGCTATAAAAATCAAGTTTTTCGAAGCAGAAATGTTGTTCTACATGTAATAATCTTTCGTAGGGAGCCGACTTAATCCGATTCTGATAATTATTAATTCTGTAATTAAAGGGCTATTCAGATTTACCCACATATTTTTTTCTGTCATAGTGTGCATTTTAATAAGTAAATTATGTTATGACTTCTACAGTTAAAGTTGTGGTAGATTTTGAAAATACTGTTAGTGACTGAGCTAGTGAATGAATTGGTGTGTTTAATGTGGTTACAACATCGGCTCCTTTTATTGTTACATGATTGGGAAAATCCTATTGTTTTTATTCTTGGTTTATTTGCTTTGTATACATACATATTCAACCAATAAAATCCCATCAACAAATCAGAAATACTTAGCGGGGGTAGTTGTAAACCTACCAAATGTTATTTTGGGACGATTTAGAAAATAATAACTCCCTTCACTCCTCCCGTAAATTCGAGAAAAAATCTTTCATTGGACAACGCGAAATTATTTTCTAACCAATGAAAACCATGCATTCATAAAAAATCGTACCTCTATATGAAATTAGATTTTCGATCCCTTTTACGGATATAAAAATAGAAGCATACTGCTGCTAAGGGTCCAAAACAATGTCGACGGCCAATCTGATGCACATGTGCGCGCATATAAACACACACACACACACACACACAACAGAAGAGAAGAGGCAACAAAAAACACTGCTAATATAGCGTCCTTTTCTTTCTTTTTTTCTAACTTACTTCGACAAGCTAGAAACCGCCAACTTAGTTCTTGTTTATGTACACGCAGACACATCAGGCTGGCCGAAAGCTAGAAAATGAATCAAAGAAATGCCAAACTTATTATAAAAAATTGTATAATAAAAAAAAGAAATCTAAAATTATATAAAATTAATTAAATGCTAAATAAAAGAAAATAATAGACTAGATTAGCTTTGTTCACAGTCTTTTGAGGGGAGTGTTTTACAAAACATATAATAATGACACTCTGTAATAAGATTTTGACGGCTTTGTAAGTATAATTTTCTAATTGCTTCTTTTTTGGAAAGCAAAGGAAATGACTATTATTCCCTTCAAACTTTGCTTTTGTGACTGGAACATCGATGTTTTGAAACTAACCTATTTTTCATTATATTCCAGACGGACTTACCGCTGAGTTACTGAAAAAAGAGTTTTCTAGAAATTTGAAGAACTTTCGAGTAGTTTCTAAAAATTTCAAGAATTTCTAGAACGTTCTGGCTACCAATAATCGTATAACGAAAACATGATGGGAAACTATATTTGGGAACCGATTCGTGAAAGTATATTCGCGAAAAACTACACCTTTCTAATATTTTTGTGGTCTCTCTTGTGTAATCCAAAGAATAGATAAAGGCTACTTTTGAATGATATATTGTTTTGTTCCTATTTTGCGTGAACGAGACTTCACATTCGCCACTTTTCCCAATGGGAATAGGTAAATTTAAAAAATATCATTATCCTGGATTCAAAAGCAAAGTCTCAAGGAAATATTAGCCATTTTTCATACTTTCTAGATATAAGCAAATAGGAAATAATAGTTACCACCTAAGGACAGAAATCAAGTTATACAGTGTTACTGTTATCAATGTGCATAATGTATTTATATATTTCCGGTGTGGGCACCTCGAGGCGGTGTAATGGTTAGCTAGAACAATTACTACTAAGTAGTGAGTTCGATCCTCATTGGGTGCCCTCTACTTTCGGCCTTGTGCTACATCTAAGCTTAGAAAAACTACTTTATATATTTCCGGTGTATTTATTTATATATTTCTTGTCCCATCTGTTGTTGGAAGGGAGGTAAATCAACTAGTAAGTAAATGATTGATTACTTCCCTTGGTCCTTTTAATAAGCTATCCATTGATTCCCAGAATAGGCGGTGGAAAGATACGGGGAGGAGGGCAAAAAATGGGCCTCCAGAGAGTGACAGTGACACATTTGAATTATAACACACACCACATGCACACATTGTACCTGAAGTGCATTTTACCCTTGCTTTACAGCGTGTCCCATTTATATCACATCTATGATGGAAAATACTAAGACACTCGTTTTTGACAGGCAATACTAGCACCAAGAAAATTCAATCAAAGGTTGACTATACATTGGGGGGGGGGGCTATACATTGGGGGACTTGGTGATGTGTTTTGGGGACTATACATTTGAGGGCTTTTGGTGATGGGTTTTGGCGCTAATTCCAAAAAATTTTATAACCACTGATCTATACAAATAAAATATGTATCTGCATTTAGACATTTTCCCGATGAAAATGAATCGTTAATCAGTTCCTTTATCTTACGTTTCTTATATTGCAGTCTTACTTGTTCAAGCTTTTCATGTGAGGCACTCAGATACCTTTGTCTATTAAGTGATCTTCTTGCTTCAACTTGGTCTTGAAATAGACTTTGTCGTCGCTGTTTTTGTCGTTCTGTTGCTAATCTTTTTCTTTCGAGGGATATTTCACTGTTATATTAAAAACACAATTTTTACCATAAAAATATATTTAGCGACGTATATAACATTAGGAGTAATCAATGAACCAGAGATACCATTGATCGGCTTAAAAATATAAAGAGAACGGATTAATTAAGCATTTCATTGGCTTCTATTTTAGTTGTGAATTCTTTATTTCTACTTTATAGATATATTGTTTCAAGATTTCTGATTCATCGCATCTCAGTATTAAAACTTTCTAACGGCAAGATTTTATCATTTTACAATTGAAATGGCAAGATTTAACCGTAAGTTCTATGCTAACAGTTTCTTTTCTTGCACTTCTTGCTTGTGGAAATCTCTTCCGGCGTCTTGCTTCCCAGATAACGTTGATGTTCAAAAATTTTAATGAAATGTCAATCGTTATCATCTTTCTTCTTAATTTCTGTTCTTTTATTGTTCATTCTCCTTAATAGTTGTTTTTTGTTTTCTCTCATATTCTCTGATAATCAGTAACTACCTTACATTTTAGTGACTTTATAACTGTGCTTGGGGTAAAATGATTTTAAAAAAACAACTGCCTTCATTTTTATGGCATTGTTACACGCGTTTATTTTGTAAAAAAGAAAGTCAGGCGGTTAATAAAAATGGCTTGAATAAATTTGTAATGTAAACCTTTGTATATGTGAAGCTCAAACTGAATGTAAAAATACCACTAAAATAAACAATGCAAATTTAAAACATTTTTTTCTTATAATTTATAATTTGTGGCTTTTATCTGAAAAATGGCTTGAATGTTTTGTAATATAAACTTTTATATGTGAAGCTCAAACTGAATGTAAAAAAATACTAAAATAAATTTGCAAATTTAATGTATTTTAAATTATAATTTTATAAAGTATTGTGGTGTTATATACACTTTTATCTATAAAAATGGCTTGAATAAATTTGTAATGTAAACCTTTGTATATGTGAAGCTCAAACTGAATGTAAAAATACCACTAAAATAAACAATGCAAATTTAAAACATTTTTTTCTTATAATTTGTGGCCTGAAGTATTGTGGTGTTATATACACTTTTATCTATTTTTTGTTTTTATTAATTACTAGCAGTAGAGCCCGGCGTTGCCCGGGGATGTAACAGTAAGAGATAGATCAAGTATCGAACATCATAAAGACTGAAAAATAAAATTGACAAAAATTAATGTTTAAGATTGACGGACACGCATGTCTTAATTAGTTTTTTTTTATTATTATTTATTTTTTATTTTTTTACGAATTGGTCAAACCCAAACTCTAACAAAAACATTGTTTTCATTCGTTATGAGTCTCTACCGATTGGGTAGAATTTTATTATAAACAATTGTCTTGTAAATGGAATTTTTAAAGCATTCTGAATTTAAAATAAAGAAAAATGTGTACAAGACAATAAGAAACACTACCTGCCAAAAAAAGTTGCTTTTTTTGTTGAAATCGTTTGAAAAATGTAGGAAATCCGATCCCATATATAAACGAACACACACACACAAACAACCAACCTGGGTTTTATAATAAGTATAACTCGATAACTCGATATTACTAAGTATAACTCGATATGAGTTGTCCCCCTTTCATTAATGCCTCTTAATCGTGTTTTCAAATTGATTTCGTGCAAAAACAATCGTGTTTTTTCCAATTTTGGGCGCTGTCAGAACCACCGCAAGGTAATTTTACGTAGTCCTGTGAAGTTTTGTTGAAATCGGTTGAAAAATGTAGGAAATCCGATCCAATATATAAACCAACAGACACACACACACACACACACACAATCTGCGTTTTATAATAAGTAAGATGATCTAACAAGTCTTATTCAATGAGTAGCCATTTTTGTAATCTTTTATAATTTTTTTACAAAGTTTTTACTTATGAAATACAGTAAATAAACTATATTTTGTCTGTAGTGATTGATAATTAAAATTCTGGTCTGGCTATATTTTCATTCAACGTATCTAATACAAAAGTATCAACTGTATTTGGATTTATTCTTGAAATAGTAATATTTTGAAGTCAGTTTGTATGCAAAAACCTGCAAAAATTAGATATTTCTGTACATTTTTCAGATGATCTTTAAAACTAAAGGCTCAAATTTTTGATACGAACTATCGATTTGTTATGTCAGTACTTATCACATCAAACTATCGATTTGTTATGTCAGTACTTATCACATCAAACCCAAGCTTCTACACTGAGCACAATGTTGGTTTTCTAAAAACATGATAAATCTACCTGGAAGTGATTAAAAAAAAACAACAAATGGAGATAAAACGCGGCTAAGGTAAGTGAAAGAGTTCTTATTTCCCATGATTTACTAGCTTCAATCGTTTACTTGTCCCGGGATATATCGTATACTAGTCGTGGGAGACTGAGAGTTCGTTCGAGGCATAAAACAAGGTAATAGTCGAGAAGAAGGAAATCAACACGTATATGTAGTCGAGTAAGATAGACCCGTGGAAGAAATATTCCACTAATTATCACATTACAGTAGTCGATAGTTAGTCCCTGATGCTGCTGCTGCGGCTGGTAGTGGTGTCGCCACTGATCGAAGTCATCGCTACTGATGTACAGAAATACCTTTATTTAGTTTTGCTTGCAAAATTGCTTACATAATTAAATTCTCTACATATTTTTCAACCAATAAAATCCCATCAATCAGCTAAATATCAGCGCAGATAGGATTAATGACAACTAAGCCCAAAATATGACGTTTTGTTTTTCGTCGTTTTGTGTTTTCGTAATATAAACCGTGCAAACTGGTTTCTTAAAATACTTTTCAAGCTACTAATAATTTTACAAAAGAATCTTTAACAGTCAATAATGTTTTTTTTTTTAGGAGTCGAAAGTTGATAAATCCCTTACACCCCAAGCCACCAATATGCCACTAGGTGGCATGCCGCTAGCGTTTTCCGCTGGTGTCCCGCTGTCAGACCGCCAGCGTGTACCTCTCGGCCCACCGGTGGCTGCCACCAGAGGACTACTGGCGTTTCCATCGGTGACCCACCAGCGGGCCACTGACGTCTTCTGTGTAGGGTCAGCAATATAGTCGAAGTAAAGGGTGTTTCATTAAGACGGATCAAAGTCAGCAGTAAATAAATCAGTGTCATTGGTGAAAATTTATTTATTTCTCTATTGGATCATGTTATGTAAGTCATGGCAATTATGTGTGAAAAATAATATCGCCCAGATGTCCGCCAAATCTGAAAGAAAAAGAAAAAAAATCATTAGACGCTTAAACTTAATTAACATTTAAAATCGGCCCAAGTTAGTGGAACACCTTTTATATTAGTAGACTAGTTTATTTATTTAAGTTACATTATTTATAGGAAAATTAGGATCACAGAAAGTTAAAAGATAGATTTATTAAATTTATAAGTTTCATTGGTTAATAAATATATTTCCCAATTTTTAATATTGATTCTTAGGAGGGAAAAGATTGTTAATAATTTTCTTTGATGTAAGCTTTCATTTGTAAGCAATTGTCGTCTGCTTTTCACAGCTTTTGAGCTGCGTCTCAAACAACCTCCCTGATGGTCAATAAATACTAATGTAGAAATTTTAATTTGACATTTTTTTACCGTCCTATTTTTGCACAGAATTGAGATTTTAGTGATACTACTTAAATCGATTGAATTTTTTTAATACAATTTTCAACTGGATTCTACACGTCTCTTCTCCTCGCCCTCAGAAAAGTTGACAAATTAAAGACTTTTTTAGCCTTGGTTGGCAACCCGTTTGAGAGAATAAAAAAATATGATTTCAAAATCATGGAGAAAGCAACGGGAAATCACTTCACTTCATTGTCTTTTTTCATGAATACATGCCAATTCACAAATAATAAAGAAAATGGGATATGTAGAGAGCCATGATCGCCTATGATGAAACATAGCATTAAATGATTTCCCAAATTCTCATTGCATATTGATTTCATATCTTGAAGGAGGACTTGGAATATGAGTTAACCTTTTTTGTGTTATTTATTATTTTGAGGATAAATTAGTGTTTGGTCTGCTGAATTTGTTTGAAACGCTTAAGTGAACAATCAGACTGGTTACTTTTTTTTAAGCTGCTAGTGTGAAAGGGAGCGTGATTAATTTCAAGTGTTTTTTATTTTTTGTGTTTTTTTTTGTGTTTTGTTTCGCTTTTTGATTTCTTTCTTAAAAGCTATTTTTAAAAATGCTGAAAGTGGGAATATATTTTTTTTAATATCTCGAAAATCAGGTAACATGTTATTCCGTTTAAAACGGAAATCAAGTTACTTCTTGAAATGAAACACTTAACTTGTTATTTAAAATTTCAAAGGTCAAAATATTTTCCATGAACAAAAAAAAAATGCAAAGCTAAAAAAACTAAAAAAAAGTCATGCCTAAAGAAAGAAAAGAAATAAAATATAAAATCAAATAAATGAAAATTTAAAAATTCAGTTTTTAAAAAATAAAATAATATAAAGTACAAAATAAAATAGAATAAATAAATAAATAAATAATTTCAAATAAAATGTAAATAATAATAATAATAATAATAACGTAAAAAAAGAGAAAATAAAAGTAAAAAAAATGTAAGTCCACCATTTTATGACAAAGATCGTTAAAGTTCGGTAAAGATCGGCAGTTTCCGCATAAGCCGGTCACCGCATTTTGTTCACATGTCAAACTTAAAAAGGCGGACGTGCCAATTGTCATACCATTCTGTTTCTGTTTTCCTAGGTAGCAGGTTGTAGACTCGCTTGTGAAAATGGTTAACCTTGGTGATATTTTCCCAAACTTTGACGCTGAGACCACAGAGGGAAATTTCAAGTTCCATGAGTTCATCGGTAATTCGTAAGTAATCCCAACTCCGAAAAAAGAAATTGACATCAAATTTAAACATGCTAATTTTTTTTTAATGGTTTTCTTTTCCCTATAATTACAATCATTTTTTTCCTCCAGCAGTTGTTACAGATTTAATCGGAATCTCGCTTGTGTTTTATTCGACTACTTGGTTACAGCAGATTTTTCACGATAACTGACCGCTAAATTATAGGGGTTAGGAGTGCTTGTTATGAAACGAACTTGCTTATCGGCTTTTTAGTTGTTGGAAGACTATTTATTTTTAAGCTTAAAGTTGAAAGTTAAACATAACTTCCTCTGGTTAAAAGAAAAAAGAATGTTTTCTTTATCTTCAAAACTTAAAGGGTAGTTCTCAGGATTTTTTTTCTTAGTTTTAAAATTAAGAATTAAAAAAAAAAAAAAAATCGACCACCTCCCCTCTTTTTTTACTTCCCGTAGGTTAAAGTTTAAAGAAAAGGCTTAAATTTAGGAATAAGAATTCAGTACTTTAATCGAACCTCACAAACCCTTTTTTCTAAAAGGATTTTTTTTCCTCTTTACTCAAAAGAAAAACTCCGGTCTCCTTCTTCATTAAAGAAATAAATTAATGTTTTACAATTGAACCTCTTCGACCCAATCCTACTTAAGAATTAAATAGCGTTACTTATTTGTTATAAATTAAGTATGTCTCCTTTTTATGTAAGCAGGGATTCTGACCCCACCCCACCCCGACTTAAACCTTAAAGAAAGCGAAAGCACTTGTCTTTTTACAATAAACTTTTTTTCGCCTTGTGTTACTGGCGAGTTTGAAAAAAATATTTTGTTTTTAGTGATTCTTTTCCTTTTTATTTTATCTCTAATTTACATATGCAATGCTTCTTCGTCTGCATCTGATATAAATTTTTATGGGGCGGGGAGCACCTAAGAAAAGAGGGTTAAGATATTTAGATTTTTCTTCTTCTTGTAACTAAAAAGACATCTGTGTCACTAAGTGGCTAGGTTAAAAAAAAAAAAAAAAAACTATGTCAGGAAACTTTACTTGAAGTCTGTTACCAACTTTCCTTTTTTTTTTTTTTTTTTTTTTTTTTTTTTTTATTTACTACGCATTATGAAAGAGGGTGGCTCTTTCAAAAAAAAAATTCTGAAATCTTAAATTCTTATTTCTCATCCGACGAATAAATTATATTGCATAATTTTTTTCGAAAAAAAAAATGTACCCCGTTTTCTTACAGGGTGCGACAAAAAAATAACTGCCTTTTGTTTTGACTTTTAATTTATTAAACTTGAACTTTAAAAATGATTTTATGGCTTACGTGTTCGTAACTTGATAATAAAAAAAAATCTTAATTCCCTAAGGTGGACAGGACAATGTGGGTCAATTGAGTGACCATCTTGATCACCAGACTCTTTCTTTTGGGGTGAACTGAAAGATCTTGTTTCCAGGCTCAAACCGAAAACAATTTCTTAATTTAAAATAAGCAATTTCTGTTAATTTTTTTTTTTTAAAACTAATGTAGAAATGTGTCAATGGTTTAAGAAATATAGTGTGGTTAAGCATTTTTTATTGAACACTAAGGGGAGCATTTTGAACATAGTTAAAAAAAATAGTAGTAGTAAGTGTAAACGCATCCCATCTCCCCTCCCACTTGTTACCATCAATCGCAAATGTTTTCAAGTCAGACGAATGAGTCTAAGCTTCTACTTCTAGAGTTTTTTTTAAATATAAATCAAATCCTGTTTAGATGTGACAATATAAATTCTTTAAACTAACTGTAATTATTGTTCAATAATAAAAGTTAATAAAACTGACAAAAGGGCGTGACTTTAAGGTTTTTTTTGTTTTGTTTTTTTTCCCTTCCCCCCGCACCTTTTACATCTCACGCCTCTTATCTAGAGTCCTAGATTTAAAAAGTAATCCAATATAGTTAAATACTTGTAGTTATCGAAGTATAAATTTTTGGGTGTGCTTTTAAAGGATCTTTTTTTGTTTGTTTGTTTGTTTTTTGTTTTTTATTTTAAAATAAATTCTCTCGCAAATTACCAATAAAACACGCTCTAACCTTCCGAATTAGCATTCGGGGGAGGGGAGTATCGACGCCCCCCCACCACCACCACTTTTTTTTTTTTTAGGAATGCATTTACTTTCATTTTTTCCTATTTAATATTTGTTATGACAGATTTCGTAATGAAATTAGCAAGCTGGTTTACTTGAAATTGTCAGTTCTTTTGTAACTAAATGACTTTTAGTTTTAATAAATCTATTGTCACTACTAATGAAGCTTTCTCACGGGATAGGATTGTTTTATGATGACCAAGTTGAACACAAAACATTACAAATTGTAATAATCATGCTAGAAGACAAATGCTTAGAAACTTTTGGGGGGGGGGTGATCTGTCTATTGTTAGGAAATAGTCACGCTGAATCCAATTGAATTTTTCAACTGGGATGAATTAAAAACACTCGTGAAAAAAAAAAAAAAAAAGTCATAGGTACTTCTAGGTAAAGTGGACAATTGTTTTTCTACAGAAGATTAAACTTTAATTTTAACTAAACATTAAGAAAAATAAGAATAAGATATTGTTAATGTTTCTCTTACCTCCAAAGAAACATTATCGCGGTGATACCTTGAATGTTTTAAATGATTTTAATTTTCTGAAGCCTTTTTCAGTATGATTGACCTAAAAGTTTAAAATTAAATCTGATTTGAAACGAAAATTACTTTTTAGTTTTATTGCAGAAAGAATTTTTAAACACTGAATGGTGTTTTTTATATATATATATATATATATATATATATATATATATATATATATATATATATATAATTTTAACTACTAAGTAATAAACTTTAAATTTATTATACTTGTAACACAAAACCAGACCAAGTAGAAGTTTCTTATGAGGTTAACACCGGCCCCATCCCTGATTATGGGGCAAGAATTAACCTTGATTTCACAATGTCCAGACTAATACATATCATGCCTCACTTTTTAAACAAAAAATTGGGCAGATGTCTCTTTCTGGACGTAGTGGGAAGGAAGGAGAGAGGAAAGACTTGTTTGAGAATTTACAATACATTGGAACTCCACAATACACAACTATGTGCTATATCTGCTTAATTCTACCTCTATTGTGCGCTTGCATTTATAGACTGTTACCGAGTCATATATCAGGTTTGTGTGCTTTTAGTACTTCATGCTTGCCTGCATATTACATAGAAAGAGCAACTGACCTAGAATTTGTATATACAAATCCTTGTTTAACAATTGTTCTGATTTGATAACTCCATTTTAGTTGTTCACTGAAATGTCTAGCACTGCTGGAAATTGAGACTCTGGGAATTATATCCTACCACTGTTTGTAAAGCATTAAGATGGATGTGAAAATTCGCATAGCTAAAGGCTGGGCTGCCTTGAATAATATGAACATAATCTAGAAATCTACCATCCTCTGATATTTCTGCACTTTGCAGGATATTGCTGGTGGCAAAATGAGAAATGATAGGTGATCTACTTCTCTGGACACCTATCTATGGTACAAGGCAGGCTTTTAAATAATTAACTAGCTATGTTGTACCGTAGAATGCCACCCTTAATGACCTTACAATATTTATGTGGGACTGATAGTTTGTGGGAATAACTCCTGAATGTCTGAGATAGTTCGACCAAATAAAGCCTTAAAACTTTTCATAAGGCTTGAAAATTCTTGCAGATCCTTAAAATATCCGGGAGTTGGATCCCTGGAAGGTTCCTCCATACTTGTGACATTGTGCTGGTGTTGTAAAGAAAAAAAAAAACTAATAGTAGCAATAAACACCTGCAATAGGCTTCTTCTGTCTCTCATCCGCAACACTTGTAGCCAAATCATAGTTCAAATGATAGTCCGTCATAACAGTACAACAGGCAGCATAGAAACAACAAAATGAAGTTACAAATCCAACCTTCACTTCTCACCAGCAATAACACATTTGTCCAAGCTCAGAAAAAAAATCCTTGTAAGCGAAAAATAACAGCTTTTATTCACAGCAATTATTTTTTCTTTTTCTGATTGGTTGCACCATTCAGGGGAGGAAAGAATATTAGCATAGATTCTTATAATTAAAGCAGCAGATTTTTGCTAACTACTTCCAGTAATTTTTCTTCAGCAGGTCGCACACAAAATGCAAACTCCTTCTCTAGATAGGTGTTTATCCCTTTCACTACAGCTGGACTAATTAATACCTGTTAAATATTGATTGAATATTGGCAGTTTCACTTAGACATAGTATAGAAATAAAATAAAAGAACCTCTAATAAATGATAGCAGATCAGGTGCAGTGCTCAGTTCTAGACTTTGGATTGTCCCTAATAGGATTAAAGCATTGTTTGGTGAATTTGGTCACATAGTAATTGTAAGTAACAGTTTTGGAGGAAATGGAAACATAAAAAAACTAATACTTAAGATACAGTTGTTTACTAAGGCCTATAAGGAAAAGTTTTGAAAAATCTGATACTCATGTGACGGACAGGAAAACACTGAGTGAGCATGAGTCGATGGATGGCAGAATGGAGCTTAGGAGAAATAACAGAAAGACAGTTTAAGAGCTACAGAGCACAGGAAGTTGTGGAAAGCTATGATCGGCCATGTCCTGAGGGGACTTTTTTACATACTAAAGTAATTGGGTTCAGTCCCTGGATGTAAGTTCAACTTCCACTTAGTGAGGAATTGGGTGAGCAACAAAAAGAACAATGAGGTATCCCTGGGCAAAATCAGAACCACACTTTGTAGACAAAACAAAGGCAATTGTTCAAAATTACTTGAAAAAAGATACTAGTGCATGTGGTCATGTAATGTAATTCCATCTACTAGGGTGGCAAACCAATCCCTATTGCAGACACTAGCTCGGGTGAATTTGTTAAACACCCACAGAGCCTACCTGTGGTTTATACTGCAACTATCCTGAAGACACTATAGTTACAGTTACTCGGAGAGAGCCTGTTATCTAGCATGATCAACAATCTGAATAATGCCAGCAAGCTCAAGACCTCAGTCACGATGACTTGTGACTTTGTGCTAGCACAGTTATTGGCAGCCGCCCAAGTGTTCCATCTAACAGTTTCACTCACAGGGCTTGGGTCAACCCATGGTATGGGTTTTCAGGGGTGCTGCACACAGGGATCACCCCTCCCTCCAGACTGATAACATCAGGATGTCACCTTCTTGACAAATCACTTGTGAGATTTGAACCCAGTTCTCATGGTCTGAAAGCAAACGTTCTAACAACTTGGCCTTATATACACACAAAATGAAAGCAAATTTTAAAATTTGCCAAAAGTCTCCAATTGAAAGTAAACTAATCTGTTAATTCTTTAACAGATTAATTATATAGTAATTCAGTTATAGACTGTTGTTCTTGGCTTTATTGCTGTATTCACATTTTCAGCCATTGTACACTTCAACTTTCTTCAGGTGATGCACATTGGGATTTTGAACAGAACCGTTTTAGTCACCAAGGACCCATGGCCCAGTGGATAAAAGGGTTGGTTGAAGTAATCCAAAAAGACTTGACCCAAAGAGTTGTGGGTTCAATACCTGGCCACAGCAAAAGTGAACAAAATCTTGGTGAGTTGAGTTACTAAAGGGGCAAACAGCTATCTGAAAAAGTCATGGTACCTGGAACTAGATCAATCTACCCACATGGACTAAATAAGGGATTCAGTATTTCAACATGTACCACCTGAAGCTCTGAGCATAGAATGGCTGAAACATTGTCCTCATCTTTGTTGCTATATTCACAATGTTCCAAACAATGTAAATAGAAACAGATAACTCCTCTCGGAAATAGACTAATGTTATTTTGAGAACTTTGTAGAAATATCTTTGACAGTTATACCTGTTCCCCTACCCATCATATATATATATATATATATATATATATATATATATATATATATATATATATATATATATATCACATACAAAATTTGAAATTGTGTTATTTGGGAGATCACTGAAATATAGTGATTTCAGTGTCAACTGATATTTTGTTAAATGGAAAACTGAACTGTCACAAATGGTTCCAGACATCTATTTTCCTGATAATTATCAAATAAGTGAAGTAGACTTCACAAGTACCATGGCAAGCAGGTCAGACAAAAGTCACTGAAGATGAATTACTTTTTCTTTTTCTTTTTTTTTTCTTTTTTTACCTGCGAAGGGGGCATTGATGAGAAGATCGCCTTGCATCAACAGAAAAGGGAAGATGACCGTTAGATTGTTCACCTCCCGACTTCACGAACACACACCTCATCTATAGCAGTAGGTTACAACCCAAAAAATAAAATCTGCTTACCACTAAAAATTCTCATGGTATTTAATTCATAGGTAACTATCTATCCAGAGGGTTATTTTTAAAGCAAAAGCATTGGACTAAGAAACTGTACCCTGAGAACGAACCTGGTGACTGGTCTGAGCTTCTGCACAACAGAAATTTTTACAGTTAATGAAAATCCCTGAGGATTCTCTTTTTTTTTTTTTTTTTTTTTTTTTATTATTATTATTTTGTTTTATCCCCCCCCCACTCTCTACAACTCGAATCTACAGAATATTTTATTAAAAAGTGATTATAAAAAAAACAAAATATTCTATTTTTACCATTCACAGCTTAATTTTATTAAATTTACATTTGATTTGACTTCTGGGGTTTTGTTTTTCTTATGCAAAATATTTAAGTGTTCAAATTATATTTAAAGATTTAGAAAAATAAAAAAAGACTCCGTTTAAAACTGGTTTCATCTCCGTAAATTTTTATTAGAAAACTCCTTTCCTCTAAATAAATTCGACAATCGATGAAATGCCCCAAAAATATTCGCGCACGGTGAGAGATGGCTTATTATGCCTGTCTGCTTTCGTTCGTTTTTGCTTTTTTCTATCTCCAAGATCATAAAACTGGATTGATTTTACTGTTGGTTTGCGTCTTTTTCTGATTTATTTCTCAGTGCGCCCACGACGCAACCTAATGTGACCCAACGTCAGAGCGTGGGTTTTCAAACTGCAATACTCAGGCGCTGGGTAATAACATGCAGCCCTCTCCCGAAGGAGAGGTACTGTCTTGGGACTTGAGCTTAATATTAAAAAAAAAAAAAAAAAAAACTCCCGGGGAAAATACCAAAAAATGTGAGTGAAAGCCAAAATGCCGTCTGTCGCCAATAGTTACGGTAAATTCAGACGCGAGAGTTTTCTCCCTTGAGTCGTCGAACAGATAGAATTGCTCATCACAAAAGAAATTTCGTTACGATTTAATTTCATAAGAATTTCGGTGTGCCACATCCCTTCAGAACATAGGCGATTGTGGTTCTCCACAACTTCCTATTTCTTTTGGCTCTTAGCAGTTGTCCTCCCTTTGCTGAGGAGAAACTGCTCAGAACTATTAAATTGCTAACTGCCGTCCATTTACACAAGCTTGTCAGGAAAATTGGCTTGCTAGCACCCTCCCTATTTCTCTTGCCCTTAATATGCGCCTTGAGGGTTAAGTTTTCCATGCCCTATTTCCTCATTGTGTCAAGGAAATTCAGCTGCTGTCTCTTCCTGATTCTGTTTTCTTTGTTTTTTTTTTTTTTTTTTTTTTTTTTTTTACAGGGTGTTAAAGGTGCATAAATATTTTACAAATATACAGATTGTAGAAATATACATTTGATACAGAATAAAATTTAATGCCTGAATATTTTTCCTCTTGGTACGAAGCATCCTGGGTAAGACATTAAACTATGTCCCACAGCAAGGCCTCTGATCAGGAGTTTTTGTGGAGCGTGGAACCACCTCTTAATTGCTGGAGTTCCCAGGTCCACCCTGACCCGTGGTGGTAGCACCTGTTAGGGTACCAGCTATAGGCAAATAGTTAACTATTACCAGCAATACTTTTTTGAAAATTACCAGCAATAAAAAAATTTTTGTCAGCATTAAATAACCCATTTAGGTTGATATGCCATTAAACAAAGTAAACCAAACTAAGCATCTTGGTATGCAAATCAATATGAACATCTAAGTTCAAAATAGTTTCACTCAGCAAAAATTAAACTATGGCAAAAGGCTAAGGAGGAATTATTATTTTTTTTTTTTTTTTTTTTTTTTTTTTAATAAATAACAGTGACAATGTTTGCATCTTATTACTTTGTGGTAAAGAGCTACATTTTTTTTTTTAAGCTTCCAAATTAGGCATGCTCTCAGTCAGTGACCAGAAAGTTTTTCCTTTTTGGGTGACCTTTATTCTGCATATGCAAGCTTAACATAAATGGAAGTATTTTTTTTATACATTTCTACTTAAGTAAACTATTTTATTTAGTTGCATTTTTTTTTTTTTTTTTTTTTTTTTTTTTTTTTTTTTTTATGCAACCTGCTGACATGTGTTGAAATTCTCACGGTATTTAGTATTAAAACTATTAATAGGATGTTTAACAAGGTCAGTTAAATGTGGGTAACCCAAGCGCATGCCAGGTTAAATAGCCCGGCCCTCATAACTGTTTTTTGAGCTGGCATTGGTATTACTACAAATCTAGTGCAATGAGGGAGGTACTGTGACAGGCAGCTGTTTGCCTAGACCAGGCAATTCTCCATGTTTTCAGTTGTTCTATCCAAAGACAAGGAACTGAGATGAAATGTAGTTTATTTGCCAGAGGGCGGATACTACACTTTTGATCTCGGTCAAAAGGCTGAGAAGCAATGGCAGCAACAATAAAATCTTTTTTTTTTTTTTTTTCTCCAGACATACCACTTGAAATGACAGAAACAGTGAGGCAATCTTTAATGACTCTGTTACAATAAATAAAATAATGCCTGCAGAATTATTTTTAAATTAACACAAAGATTTGGAACTTTACAATCTTTGTTTATTCATGTACAACTATTTTACAATTTTTGTTATGCTATTTACATGCAAACTAGTGCCTTCATCTTTATTACAATGTTTCGGCCCTTGTGCTGCTCTCCTCAATGGTTAGGTTTGTAATTCCCTGCATGTTACCCAGATCAAGATATGCCTAGGGAAGGGGTACATTGGTCAAAATGTAATAATAGCAGCAACAAAATGCAGGTAATATTCTGCATGTAAGTAACTCCACATCCAAAAAGTTAGTGTGTGTGTGTGTGTATATATATATATATATATATATATATATATATATATATAATTTTATTCATAGAACTTCCTTGATCTGTCAGTTATGTGCCATGCATAGGTGATCATGTATCTTTTAATACCAAACTGACGAGTCAGATTTCCCCCTCCCCCCACAGTAGGTTACCATTTCTTTCTGCGGTAGACCAGTTGCAATCCAATGAAAGAACCTGGTCTATCCTGTTCTTCGCCCATAGCTAGGGGGAGAAGAGGAGGATTCATACCTTTCCCTCCTCTTGTAAGTGAATGTACATTTGACAGGAATTCAAACTCGGCTCCCCAATTCTTCGATCAGTGCCGCTATCCATTATTCAACCATGTCTCCTTGATATTGAGCTTAAAATGCTACCTTACTTATGAAATATTTTCAATTTTAGCATTTGAATATTTCTTGTCCTTTTTCTAGTTGGGCCATTCTCTTCTCTCATCCGGCCGATTACACACCCGTTTGCACAACAGAGCTGGCAAGAGTCGTTCAATTGGTTCCAGAATTCCAAAAAAGGGGAGTGAAGCTTTGTGCCTTGTCATGTGATGATGTTGAAAGCCATCATGGTTGGATAAAAGTAAGTATTGGTTCATATTTCAAAGTCCTGCTTGGTGACTGAGATAAGAGCATATTCTTTTTACTATAGATTGAAACGATGATTGCCTTTCAGTCTTTTGGAATAATTGCAACACAAACTTCCTTTTCCAATTGAATTTGTGCTAAATTAAACCAACTGGTAAATGTCTAGACCTGCTTGATTGGTGGAAACACAGATGTCTCTCACTATCAAAAGTAATAAGCATTCATGACTATGTATTTTTTTTTTTTTTTTTTTCTTTCTTGCCTGTGGGATGAGTTCCAACAGAAACATTACTGGAAAATGAGAAGTGAAATGAGTGATGTAGTGATAGAAAAATAAAAAGGTCACTATTTAAAAAAAAAAAAAAAAAAGTTTGCAAACCATTTAGGTTGGCCATAAAGAAACAAAAAGCAAAAAGATAAGGTGGGGAATGAGGTGAAAAGGTCATCATTCCCAGATGTTGGTGAAGAAAAAGGAAATGGTCAAATGAGTCCTGTGAACCAATCAGAAATCAGTATTTAAATACTGAAATGAATTCCTTTCTCAAAAGTGATAATCACACGGATGGCCAGGCAAAGGAACGAGAGTTGAAATTTCTTCCATTCACCTACATTTATGGATGTCTAAAAAAAATCCCACAGGAAGTTGAAAGGATTATTACTATCAAAAAGATACATACATATTTTCTGTCTGTCTCTCTGACTTTTCTAAAGTTTTTCTTGTACAATTTTTCTCTTCTGGACATGGTATGCAAAAACCAAAAAAAATTGTCCAAATCTTCTGAGCACCTTTTGGCTTCTCTATTTGCTGCCCAAATATACATCGATTTATTTAGGAGTTTCCAGATAGACCGATTTTAATGATTATTTCATAAGCCTCTCTTGATTGGCAATTCTGAATAATCTCTATTGCATATCTGTAAATTTTTTTCTTCCTCCTTTTTCAAGGATATTGTGGCTTATGGTAAATTTGACAAGTTTCCATATCCAATCATCTCTGACAAAACTCGAAAACTGGCAGTGAGTCTAGGTATGGTTGATCCTGATGAAAAAGACCTGGCTGGAATGCCTCTAACTGCACGTGCGGTAAGGACACCTTTTCTCTTAAAAATGTCCCCCCCTTCACAAACTTTTATCCAACTCCTGGTGACTTAGCTGCCAATAAAAAGAAAATGCATTGGCTCACCCAGATGAACCAGTATCCTACACACACACACATATATATATATATATATATATATATATATATATATATATATATGTGTGTGTGTGTGTGCATTTTCATTTTTTTTTTTTTTTTTTTTTTTTAATTATACAACTTCTCCTGCAATCTAATAATTTTATTTTCAGATAATTACATAAAAACTGTCAGATGTTCTTTTTATCTGAGTGCTTTAACAACACTGATATAATAGCATCATCTTTATGAAAAAAGGCTAAAAATAATGGAAGCCTTATTAAAAACACAACACTTAATATCAACTATAACATGGACACCATATCTTGACCATGTTTTGAAAAATGAACATTTTATATAACACTAGCAGTAGAGCCCGGCATTGCCCAGGGATGTAACAGTAAGAGATAGATCAAGTATTGACCATCATAAAGACTGAAAAATAAAATTGACAAAGATTATTGTTTAAGGTTGATGGACACACATGTATTAGTGTTTTGTTTTTGTTTTTTATGAATTGGTCAAACTCAAACAAAAACATTGTTTTCAATCGTTATGAGTCTACCGAATGAATAGAATTTTATTCTAAACACTTGTCTTGTAAATGGAATTTTTAAAGCATTCTGAATGTAAGAATAAAGAAAAAAGTGTGCAAGACAAAAAGAAGCACTACCTGCCAAAAAAAAAGTGAAGTTTTGTTGAAATCAGTTGAAAAATGTAGGAAATCCAATCCCATATATACACACACACACACACACACACACACACACACACACACACACACACGGATTTTATAAGTATAACTCAATATGAGTTGTCCCCCTTTTATTCTAGTGACAGAATCGTGTTTTCAAATTGATTTCATGCAAAAACAATTTCTTCCAATTTTTGGCGCTGTCAGAACCGCAAGGTAATTTTATGCAGTACTGAAGTTTTGAAATCGGTTGAAAAATGTAGGAAATCCGATCAGATATATAAACGTACACGCACACACACTGCGTTTTATAAGATGCATGCAACAAACTTTCTTATTTAACACTTAAAATATTTAATCCGTGAAAATGGCTAAATGTATAGCTGAAAGCGCTTGGATAAAAAAAACATTTGGACAATTTTTATATAATTTATCATCCAAAAAGAAGAAAATTATTAGATCACATGAGAAATTGTATAAAAAAAAAAATAAATAAATAAATAAATAAAAGCACCTTGTCTGTCGTAAGTGAAAATGAAATGTGCATGAAATATATTATCCTATATATATATATATATATATATATATATATATATATATATATATATATATATATATATATGTATATATGTCTTTTTTTTTTTTTTTTTTTTTTTTCCTCCTCATGAGATTCTTAAAGTAGTAAAGCCAGTAGATGAAAAATGAAATAAACTTTTAATAAATAGGGAGTCTACTCAAATACGAGAGTCCACTAAAAAAAAAAAACCTGACAATTGCATTTCTGCATGAAGCACTGTCAGTGCCAGGTGTTGATGTCCACTCTTATTTATATATACCCTATCTGTGATATTGAGTACTTTAAGCCATAATTATAGCATACCTTTTAACACACACACACGCGCGCGCGCTCGCTCGCTCTTTCACTGTTAAAAATATAATTGCATATGAAAAATGTTATTTACTAGTCATTTAATTGTTATATGCACTGTTCAAAATGTCTGCCTTCTTTTTCAAAACACATTTCAACTCTGTGCCTGCAGGATTCATTAACATGTGAGCTTTCTCTGTCATTTTACTGCATTCGTATTGACCTCAATAGTGCATGATTTTTGCCTCGCTGTTTATGTGTAAAGATGAGGGTGGGCATTAAGTTGAAATTGTTTAAAAACAGTCATAAAATCTAAATGCTATGACATCTGTTGCCACCTTGTATCTTGACATTTGTCAATGCCATTGTCCTGTAAGAAATAATTTTTATTTAATGCAACTTATGTTTTTTTTTTTTTTTATCACCCATTTTAATAGTAGCAACTTTAATTATTTTAAGTCTTTACTTGCATTAAGTATAGTATAGTATCTTGCTATTAACTACTGTTTTGGTTGCTTATGAGGCATGACATGTCAAACATTAACCGACAACAGTGTGGTGCATTTTTGGCTAATGTAAGAACTTTTCCTTTTCTCTTCTACACTACAATGGTTGTGGCAATGTAATTTCCCTATTGACACCAGAAACATTTTTTTTTCTTAAAGCTGTATTTTGAGTTTTTTTTTTTTTTTTTTTAAAGCTATCCTCATTTGTCCTTTTTGAGTCATGGTTGGGGGGAAATGTTTCTTATACAGTTCTTTAAAATCTTTGCAAAGAAATACTATTGCCTCAGTTACCCATATTGAGTGTTTTGTTTTTGTTTTTGTTTTTATCTAATGTAAATTGAATTTCTACTGTAGGTTTTCATCATTGGCCCTGACAAGAAATTAAAACTGAGCATCCTCTATCCAGCAACCACTGGGAGAAATTTTGAGTAAGTGTTGTTGTGTGTTTTTTGTTTTGTTTTGGTTTTTAATGAATCCACCTCTTCTCCCAGAAATGTGTTAATTAGTAAGACTTGTATCACTAAATCATTATCTTCTAAAATCCCTACAATCTAAAAATATTTTCTGGCTTTAAATAACCTGCAGAAGGTTGATAAGCTGTTAAAAAAAAAAAAGTTGGAATTCTCTGAAACCTTCAAATAATTTGATAATCCTGGGTATGCTGATAAACTACATCTGGCAGCAAGGCCTCTGATCAGAAGATTGGAGATTTTGAGGAGTGTGAAACCACCTCCTGCTGTTGTTCCCAGGTCCATTCTGACTCAGGGTGGTAGCACCTGTTAGGGTCCCAGGTATGGGCAAATAGTGAATTCCACCAAACAAAATACTATGAAAGTGTATATATATATATATTTTACTAACAATACACACATACTAATAAACTGTAGTGACTTCATCCCAAAACTACTTAAAATTCTAAAACACTCAACATTAAGTCTTTCAGGACTTTAATCTGTATAATGTCCTACAATATCTTAAATCAAACTGTATTCCAAAATATAACTTCAATAAAACCTACACATCACCACCTGGTATTTATGCCCATACAAACATGTATATGCACAAAAGCTGAGTATCATCTACCATGTATTCAACTATGAAAGGAGAATAACATTTTTATTACTTCCAAACTCCTAAAAAAATTGGCATTAAATGACTTGTAAGGAGTTGATGTCATTATCGCAAATCAATCCCTAATAATTTGAGACCTGACAAATCTGTCAACGTGAGGTCTTCTGTAAATTCTATAAAACAAGTTAACATTAAGGGTGCTTTTCTCTTTGGTGGTTGTTATTCTTTCTCCAAAATTCCCAAATGTTTTCAATTTAATCTTTTAATGGAATTTGTTTTTAATGTTACAGTGAAATTTTGAGAGTGATCGATTCTCTCCAGTTAACGGCTAAACACAAGGTGGCCACTCCTGTTGACTGGAAGGTAAGTATTCTCTCTTTGTCTATTGGATGTACATTGACTTTGTAGGTGGCAAAGTAACAAGTCTGGTGAGATTTAGTTACCAAGACAGGAGTACCCTTAATGTATGCAGTCTAGTAACCAATAAGAAAAACTTGCAATAAAAAGTATGTGATAGATATATATTACTGACTTTAGTGTGGGCCATTTCTCTATTTTATCATGGTCCCATTCTTTATATCATCTCCTTTATATATTAGATCCCGCAAGCCTTCTCTCTGTAAACGGGGATTGTTTACACGGTCTGAATGTTATTGGTCTCTAGTTTTCCTTGAAATACACACACACTAGTCATCCTATAAATTAATTTACACGTTTGTCTTTTTAATTCCCAGAATAAAACTTGATAAGCCGGGACAAAACTGGTTGTTTTTATTTATTAAATTTACACCAATATGCCTCGTAATTTAAATTTTGAAATATGCTTGCTCCTAGCTATTATAAAGTCCTGTACAAAAAAAAAAAAAACTTTTATATATATATATATATATATATATATATATTCAATCAATAAAGCCTCTAAGACACAAGGTGTTACTGTGTATGTGAAAAAATAAGAAAGGGAGAAACATTAAGGAGCAAGAATAACAAAGTACTCGGTAAGACACATTAGATTTCTCCTCATTAGCGGAACAGCTTGACATGTCTATATATGGGCCTCTCAGCAACTTGTCCAGATCTGGGTTTCTGTCAGCTATCTCATGTTTTGCTTCTGTATTGATGTGCATTTGCTACACAGTTACATCTATTCAATTCAACTGTGACTTGACAAAACTTTGCCACCAATCTAGTAGTGTGCTTATATTCATAAAGTGTAGGTACCATCATGAAGAATTTGTCTGAACAATTACCATGAAAGTATTTGTAGTAAAGATACAATGTAACTTAATCTTTAAGGCATTGATATGGATAGGAATAGGGTGTTACATTATTTCCATGTGTCAAAGGTCTGTCTGCCTAGAAAATCATAATTCGTTGACCTAGCCTTGAATACTTGACTCCTGACTTGATACCTGGCTGTTTATTATTTACATTATTTGGACTATTGTCCTCATCTTTGTTGCCATATTTATTACGACGTTTCGGCTGTTGTATGCTCCGGCCTTCTTCAGGTGGTTGGAATGTCGAACTGAACCCTTTATTTCACTCGCTGGGGTAGACTGTTCTAGTTCCACGTGCCTTGTTTGATGGATGTCAGCTATCAGTTATCTCCTGTTAATTTTCCCTCTGAAAGTTCTCCACTGCCTTAACCGGGTATTGAACTCACACTCTTGGTAAAAACATGCAATGATAACAGCATAATTGCAATATGAGCACTGATAAAAAAGTTGAAGACATTAGGTTTATAATACCCAGAAATTCATACCCAGATGTCCTCAAGGACACATGGCACAGTGGATAAAGGCGTTGGTTAGATCCAGTGACAAGACCCAGTCTACCCCAGTGAGCTTAAATAAAGGGTTCAGTTGGACATTCCAACCACCTTCTTTTTTTTTGTTGAGTGTACTTTTTATATAAAATGTTGATAAATAGTCTGAATAATGTAAATAATACCTCATCTCTTGCATGTTTGTGTCTCTCTGCACATGACAATATTTAAGTGAAATGTTGCTCTAGAATTTGAGAAAATATTTATTCTAATCCATTTATCCTTCTCGATTCTTGTTTGTAAAGATAATTGAAATAAATTTTCTCTTTTCTAGGTTGGTGGTAAATGCATGGTTGTCCCATCTGTCAAAGTTGAGGATGAAAAAACAATCTTTCCCAAGGGGGTTGAAACAATCTCTGTGCCTTCAGGAAAATCCTATCTCCGTATGACAGAACAGCCAGAATAGTCCTGATCTTTTTCTTTAACTTACCTGTTTGAGGAGGATTCGAAGTAGGGGTGCTTTTCAAAGAACAAAATTCTACTGTAATTAATTGTAAGAAATGACAGTTTGAAATCTATTTTTCTCTAATAATCAATTGTTTAAAAGATGATTGTATAAGTCATTTTGAAAGTAAAACAGTTTTATATTTTGGTCATTCTGCTGACTGTAATTTGGATGAGAGGATGAATTTGATTTCAATAAAGATTTCCAAAAGAATTATTATTTAATTATTATTTAATTTGCTTGTACATCCATTCTGGTGTCCTTCCCTCCCCCCCCCCAAAATGACATCACTTTGTAGGCTAAATAACAAAGCCATTTCTCACTCAAATGATCTACATTTTTACACATTTTGTTAAAATTTAAGTTGACTGTACAGACTAATCTCTGAAGATGGATTGAGCCTGCCAATGATAATGTGCTGTCAAAATAGACATCATGTTTACCTAACTTGCCACCTTTGTGATTTTATTTAATTTATTTTTTTTCCCCCCTCCTATGGGGTTAAGCAGAGGATCACTGAGGTGCTGGAGAATGTTATGCAAGACCTGGTAGTGTATTTGGCAAGAGCTGCACTACCAACTTGACATATCATGATGCACGTATTGAACATTTGAGATCTGTTATAAAATCTACGTCCCTTTGAATATCTTGAGTATTGATAAGCAAGTATTTTTTTTGTTTTTGTTTGTTCAACATAAACTATTTAATTTCATTTGTCTGGCACATTTAATTACTCAGATATTTACATTTTAAATGTGTGTGTGGTGTTTTTTTTTTTTTTTTTTTTTTTTTTTTTTTTTTTTTTTGTGAGAAAAATCCAGACAGTTTTACTGTATCACAGCTCATCAGTGCAGCTAGGTATCTGATCAGCTTCAAAACCAAAAACCCTGACTGATTTGGCATCAGTTGGAGATTCCGACCCCTAGGCATATACATATAGCAGCATTGCCCGTGCTTGATTCAAAAATCATACAGCTATCACTTGACTTAAAAATTTTTTGCCCTTCCTTGCCTTTAAAGGAGTGCCCTTTGCTGTGCTGATGTTGCTACATGCCTTACTTCTTACCTCTCATACTGCAAATTTTTTCTAAGCTCTATACTAAACATTAAATCTGTTACAAAAAAAAAAATAAACAAAATGATCAGCTTTAAAAAAAAAAAAAAACTCATAACTGGAAAAACCGAATGAAAAATGTTATACTTTTTCACACCCAACCCAGTTCTGCGGAATCAGAATCAACATTGAGTTTTTGAGTTTAAGCAAGCGAATGAGCCAATTGGAGTAGTGCCATGCAGATTTAAATTTTTCCCACTTGTGAGGAATTTTTTTTTTTTTTTTTTTTTTTTTTTTGCATGCTAGTTAACATTCGTGTCAGTCAGCTGTTGGCTCTCACTCTGGCCAGTAGAAAATGGCTGCAAACTACATGAAAACTGGCGTAGAAGCATGAAAAATCGATTATTCCCACTATCGATGGGAGTTGGGAAATGCAAAGTCAGTCTTGGCCTTCCCGCTAACTTGGAGTATATGTATGTAAATTTTGGTGCAAAAAAATGTCAAATTTGTTTGCATGCAATTTTACACACACATCCTGCCTTTTATTGATAGATAGATAGATATATATATATATATATATATATATATATACACACACACACACACACACGCGTCTTTCCCTAATGTAGCCTCAGAAAATAAGTGTTATAGGTCTGTATCACTTTTTTTTTTTTTTTATATCCATGATATTGGCTTCTTTACAAGACGGAATTTATTCTTTTGTGTCGATCTTCTAACATCCACTGAATGCCAGAACTCTTTCAAAGACAAAAAGCCTACAATATGTTGAAAACATGACAGGAAGGAACCATAAGTCTAGAAATGGCACTGGCTAATATAAAAAAAGTAATGGGACTAATAGATAATCTCTCAGCCAAGATTTCTTGTTTAAAATACACAATTATCGCACATAGCTGAAAAGGGGAATTTGTTGAGGCTGGCCTTCACTATCTTATACCTAGCTAATCCAATTCATGACCCACTCACTCATTACAATTTGCTCATTAACCATAAAAACTCATCAGTTACCAATTAATCTTCCATGCACCATAATACTGCATTCTCTCAAGGGGAACTTAGAAAACGTACCACATGCCATAAAAAATCTAATGATTATAAAATTTATAATTAAAATTTTATGGATGAATAAAATGAAAGGGGAGGGAATAAACCCCCAAAACAAACTAAATATCAACACAAAGTAACTAAACATAACTGATGTTAGTAGGGCCTGTCCAACCCTCAAAAAAAGAGAGGCCGCTGGACAAAATCAAGATATTCTCTCAGCCTTTGGCATTATGTATGCATTTTTTTTTTTTTTTTTTATTATTATTGATTGTTAAAAAAAAAAAAAAAACTCTCACCAACTCCCCAAAGATTACCCCATGTTTCTTTTTGATTTCTGTTGGTAGGCACCCAAAATGATGGGGAAAGGTGCCTCACAAACGAGATGAAAAATAAATATAAATTTCCCCTATATGTAACTTTTTTTTTTTTTTTTTTTTTTTATTATTATTATTATTATTATTCAGGGATTTGCCTAGGTAGGTGACACTAAACAACTACTCTATGGATCCAACACCTTGCCCATCTACACATCCAATGTGTCGCTGGTAATATGAAGGGTGGGTGTATCAGAACCACACAACTGCAAAGTGTGGACCAGAACTCGCTCTAATCTTGATAATGACTGCTGGATACACCTTATTTCTAGTTTTGTCACTCGATCTCCAAAATCCCCCTTATTCACACCCTTACTTCATCTTTGGTCAAAATGGATCTTGCTTTTCTAAGCAAGACTTCTAATAGTACCACCTGCTGACTATTAAACAGAAACACTTGTGAGAAATAGAACCAGCATACTATCCCATGACTCTTCTTGTTCCGGTTACTATAATAGATGTTATCTTGTACAACTCTGGAGGTTACCAAAATTAGAAATAAAATATGAAACAATATGCAGAAATAAATGACATCATCAGAAGAGTTTTGGATGCAGCTGGGTTCCCTTCCCAAATCGAACCCGTAGGCCTCAACCGTGGTGATGGAAAGTGGCCAGATGGCATTTACCATTTTCTCTTTTAAAATGGGGAAGTCGTTTATTTGGGATGCATTTTTAGCGGATATAAAATTTAGTAATTTGATCAGGTCCTGCGGTCCAAGCCTTGGGGTCCGTCGAAAGGGACGCATAGAAAAAAAATAGTTAAATATTCTTCTCTTGCTGATAGATATTTTTTTTTTCTTTTTTTTTTTTATACTCCTGTGGCAGTGGAGACTTCTGGGGTTATTGGTCCTCGTTCGATGGTGTTCCTTTGGAGGATAAAAAAATTTTTGATTGAAGGACAATCCATGACAATGGAAAACGGAGTGGTTCTTTCAGCGTGTCTCACTGGCCATGGTTCGAGGTAATGCTTTCTCCATCATTGCGGCTGGCAGAGGATAGGAAAAACATTGTTTATAGTTTGTTTTTTTTTTTGTTTTTTTTTTTTTTCAGTAAATTTTCTCTATACTTTAAAAAAATGTTATCTATTGTTTGAAAACTTTTCAGAGAAATATTTTTCCCCTTTATTCATTAATTTTTATATTGTTAACCTTTTCTGGGGACTTTATGCAGCAAATATGAAACCTTAGCCCTAGAAGACTTCGCGTCGTGCTACAATGATGGACCCACTAAGAAATGAATGTTAACTGCCTTGTTCAATCAGCTCAAAAGTGTGGCCCTGTTCAAGATACTGGAATATAAAGTGCAATTTTCATGATCAGAGTGAGCAATGCAACCACAAAATTACCGTACTGTACTGATGCGGCATTCACCCTGGGCGGATTGAGCCGGCTTCTTCCTGTTATGAGAAGAAGAATTCTTGGGATAAATTACAGAAGTAGGGTACCCAGGCCTACTCGGATAACGTTCTTGCTTGCCGCGGGGTTCCCACAGACGCAGAGACAGGAACGACCAGAAGCCGCCGGTTACCGATGCAGACGCTCCTTGGATTTTCACCAGAGCCCTTGTTAGCCGGCGTGTGTGTCAGACCTGTCCGCCTTGGGTGGCCCTACCAGGAACGAAGAAATAGGGCGGCATAGCTCTGACACTACTGTTTACACCCCCCACCGACTGTGAGGTAAGGGTTGTACTTTGGGGGCTTACAGTACCAGGTGTTCCCAAGCGGTCCCCCATCTAAGTACTGACCTGGCTCTATGATGCTTAACTTCGGTGATCGAACGAGAACTGGTGTTTTCAGCGTGATTTGACCGTAAGCCTAAACAAGATTGTTACATAATGGTTCAAGATATTAAGGAAGTTGGAAGAAATTGCTGGTAAGACGTCAGAAAAGATGATGAATTAATACGCAAAATAGAGAAAGGTAAGATGAGGATGTATTCTGACTGGATTTGTATAATCTCTACAACATGTTACCTAACAGAATTAGAAGACGTGGCAGGTGAGATCTTAACATAAGATGATACTGTTAATGGCAGACTCAAGCAAGAAAACAAGGTGATAAAAAGCAATGCCAATATTTAACCTTTATATCTGTTATATATATATATATATATATATATATATATATATATATCTCTCTCTAATTATTTTTGTACCTTCACTCCTCGACAATGTTTTTTAAAAAGATTAAAATTTTATAAAAATAAATTCTTTTTTCTTGAACTTTTAACAAACCTTTACAACTGATACCATATTTATTATTTATAAGGAAATAAATAAGATAATTTTTTTTTTTTTTTTTTTTTTTTATTCATACATTCATAAATATTTACTAAATTATTAAAATATGTGAACCAACTCTAAGGAAATTATTATTTACCATTTTATAAAGTTTGAATCAATTGGCAATTAGCTGATGTTTTGCCAACCATGTAAATAAATAATCTAATTAATTATCAATTCTGA